TATATTGATAAATCCATGGCGCTGTCTGTGGTGCTGAAGTAGCAGAAGATGTAATTGCGTCTTTTTCTCTTAGTCCCCGCCTTTCAGTCAGTTTTGTCCTGAATCGATAATATTATGTTAAGTATATACGACAAATACTCAATTCTGTACTGTTTTGCAGCTTATATACTCTATGAAGTAGTGTCACCTTGTCAAGGTGTAGTCGTGAAGGGCTCCCATTGGGCAATCACTGACTGCCAATAGCAATGAGCCTGATAAGTTGCAAAGACAGTTTGAGTAGTAGTATGTAAGTACATACATAATACAATTATGGATAATATTATCAGCAATATTAATACATGTAATAACTGGTTGTTTAACATCAGCCAAACATTGCCCCTAACAGTAACTGTCTAAGTTTCTATCATCACTGTCTGCAGTACAAAAGCTAGAAAAATATACAATAATGTCTCAACTTGACAAAACACTGTTTGTATGCCAATTACACAAGCACTTCAAGCATTTAGTCAACTTCAGTGATTTCAGATGTTATTTTTGGTTTATCTGAGTGGCACTCTCAATGCTAAGTCACCAAATAGCATGGTGAGTTGTTTCAAGTGATTAGCCTTGTTGCTTACACTCATTTCAGTCAGGTGGGTTGAAGTACGACAAGGTCTGGCACTAGAGATGAAGTGGTATCAAAGTTAGTTGAATAGTCATTATGGTGGTATTATAAATCAAGGCACAGACAGATCAGTGATTAGTTTAAGTTATTGTTAATGGTTTACAGAGCAGTTCTTTCAATCAAGTAACTTTGCCAGGCCTTAATTACGGAAGTTGTTCTAATGAATGCCTTGCAGTTAAGACTTTGCAGTTGAAAGACGAAACTAGCACAGAAGATAGATGTTGATAGATGCTATGAATGATCAAAGCAGGAGAACTTACACTGCATGTCTTAGCCGGAGATAGTAGCAATGCACGGAGCTTCACCTCTAGATGCCTGAGTGATTAATGTATCCGTGCACCACATAAGGTGTCTGCATCAACTTAGAAATGGACAAAAGCACAGTGGGACAAACAGGTGGGAGACTACAAGCAAATAAAGGTGAAGCTAATGGAGCGTGCTAATATGTGCATTTATTAAGCCCGTCGTCTCCTCTACCAGCCCAATCTGCCACTTTGCACAGCTCCCCGGGTCCCCGAGGAGTGAGTCATCGCTCACTTAAAATGATGCACCTCATGTAGAAAATGAAGAAGCTGCACATAAAGCCCTTCATCGTGATGACAAGTGGAATTGAGAAGAGTCTGCTAGCCTCGGGCACTTCTTTAAGGTTGCCGCTGGACTCTCGGGACCCCGAGATGGAGGCTACTTAAGGAGCATGTAATCTGCTCCTTGCCTACACTTTACATTAAATGTGTGATCGGGCTCATTGCTGTTGGCTGAGGGATCGAGAGCTCTCTCCGGACCAGTCAAGAGCAGGGCTGCTGTTGACATAACAGAAAAACTGACTGTGGGCTGAGAGACGTAGGGAGGAGGGTGAGGTGGTTGTGCAATGAGATGGTACTTGCACCCCTGCAACATCTGACTGGGGCCCGATGTTGAGGCAGTAATTGGGAAGTCTGGAGTAGATGTCACCCGCTTTTAATTCAGATAATCTTTTGTAATATCCAAAGCAAGATACATTAGTAGAAGGGCTGACCCCGAATAGTCGAAGATTCAATGCTTTGATGGGTAGAGCCTGATTCAACTGTCAATCTCGAAACTTTGCAGCAAAATGAGGATCACCATTGCCATTTTGGCAACATCTTATTTAAAATACAACTATCAGTTTTCTCCCAATAGGTTAATATACAGCTATTTACAATATACATTTCAACAGATAATGCTGTAAATAAACATGTAAAAAGAAAAAAGTTAATTTTTTAAAAGTTTGTGAATAAATCCAAAATTATCCTTAAAGAAAGAGGTTCAGAGCATGTGTAGGCGTAGCTTGTGTGTGTGTGTGTGTGTGTGTGTGTGTGTGTCGTGGGACATTCGGATCATTTATCACTACTGATGAACCACACAAAGAATATTATATTGTTTTAAGAACTTGAACAGTACTTGAAATAGATCTGCGAGGAACCGCGTGTATGCAGTCGCACGGCACGCAAAACTTGGCACAAGACCAGTGAATGGCAGGTTCGGCCACCCTAAGAAAATGGGTGAAGAGCATAATGCATAAAATGCTAAATACTGTTTATATTATGTAACCCCTTGGTTTGAGTGAAAAGGTGAATAGCAGCATACAAGTGTTATACAAGACAGACAGCTTTCTGTTTAGCTTGTAATCTTGAGTAGGCTTGTTTCTAGTAAATGTTTTGTTTATCCCCATCAATGCACTCCTACAAATAAAAGTTGTATTTGCCTTTTTAAGAAAAAGGTTAACTTGCCTATAGAAAGAACAATTAATTGCCTAACACATACAACATCCATTTCCATTTTATGGAATGTTAACTGAACTGGTTTTAGTCTGTGGACATTAGACAATTTTAACTGTAAAATAAGAAACCAAAGTCTTCAGTCTGTGATTCTTTAACTCATATTTTTATGTAGTATTGAACTAGTCTATATAATGCATAATAGAATTCCTAAAATTCAGTTATGGCTTTTGGTGTGCCACCCCAGGATTTTCAGTGGCCCCATCTGGCCACCCCTGGGGAAATTTTCTGGGGGCGCCCCTGTTAGCCACTGAGTATGTGGACAGTGGAATTCATACAATATGAAATCTCCTGTACATTTTCCTGTACGTTTTCTCTGTTGCTTGGAACAGCCACTATTCTTGCTTCTTATGTGAAGGAACTGGGTCGGATTATCTGTACGTTCGCTCCCGAGCCTCTCCCGAGACTACAGCGACAACACTGCAGCTAACGAAATGCAGTCCACTAACACCACAAAACGAGTGACTCTACTCCAACACAAACTCCATCTAAGGATAAAAAACAACAATAAAGTTTTATGTGCTGAAGGCTGTTAGGCAAAACGGCAATCAAATCGATATCAGGTGAAAACACAGTCAACATCAGAAAGATTAAGTGATGGAGAGACCTTTTTGTTTTGAAACCAACAAAACTGACAGAGTTGACTTTCATACTAATGGACAGGTGAATCAACATTACTGCAAAGCATTTGAAATATACTGTATGTTGGCTCAAGTTAGATAACATTAGCTTGCTGGCTAATGCAGAGCAGTTGCGTTATCATTATCCAGTGAAAAATACGTCAGTTGTACAGCTTTCCTCATTACTAACGCGACTCCTATTACTATTCTGTGTACCACCAGTATTATGTCAACGTGTTCTTTTTAGCCTGCAAGAAAGGATGTAACGCTACAGTCAAATTTGGAGCAATTTGTTTACTGACAGTGATGCAAGGAAGAGGCAGACGAGGCAGCTAACGTTAGCACAGATCTACCACTGTTTGTTTCGTAATGTTCAATTATTGTCGTTTTACATATACTCAGGTAAACAGCTTCTCCACTGTCACATTCACTGTAACTTACATGACCCACATTATTTACAATAAAGCAACATATTGGTGCAGAAAAACACAGTGTAAGACCCATTCACTACAGTAAAGTTACTCACTGCGGTCTAACTGTTATAAAGTGAGGCAACAATCTCATTTATAATATTCAGTCTAGCTCACTAACCGTTTATTATCATCATTATCATACATTTAGCTGTGCTCACATTGCTGAGCCTCTGGTGAAAGATAAAGAAATAATAACATTAGTTACTGAAAAGCAGGCAGGCGACAAGCTGTAATGGTGCAGTGGGAGTTTACCTGAGTTTCCAGCAGCTGTCTCACGCTGAGTCTGTATATGTGTGTCGGATTTGTGCTATTGTCTTTCTGGACACGCACTTACCTACAAATAAAGGTGTTAGGTTTACATGATCAGGCTAAACTGTTTACAACCTGTCTTTTCATCTGACTGCACATGTTTGTTGTAGCAATGCCACTGTGTTTCCAGATCACAGCAATTTCTTTGATGGCAACAATCCTATCATAACTGATAGAAATGACGATCTAAAATAAGACCCACGTTGGAATAAACTAATAAAAATAAAATATATTTAAAGAATTATATGCCGGCTCTCTTTCACAGCAGATTGTGTTGAATCCTACAACAATCTGCTACTGCAGGTATTCCTCTTCATGCTCCACCTGTCAGTTTTAAGTCATTGTGTAGCATATTGTACTTTAAAGTTGCTGCTCCCATGACGACTACAAATCACTTCTCATTCAAAGCAGGAAATCTTAACAAATCAACACACTCAGATGACTGATCTGTGATGACTGAGCTTAGAAAGGCGCTGAGCTCCTCTGTCATGATCCCTACCTGTCCTTTTTTCTAAAAACCAACCGCTGCTGCTGCCGCCACCATCCACTGGTAAGACCTGTTTGTTATAAGCCGCTTTTAATGAGCACACTCCAACTCGCCGGCAAATCGCAGTGACTTTTTCACCTGCGCTGGAACAAACTCCAGCAGCCTAGCTGCGTGGCAATAACTTGAACTCGAGAAGCAACAGTCCACAAGAGTTTTTCATCTCAGCAACAGCAGCTCAAGGATAGATATTAAGCACATGTAATGACTCTGAGATAATAATTAAATGTGGAAAGTCGTGAAAATCGCTGCCTACGATCTTAACTATGCTGCCAATATGCTGCCAACAGACACAATCTGTTTTTGTTGAGTGAGATTATCCCAGATTATGGATCATATTAGTGAGAAAGTACAGACTTTAATAAGCATTTCACTTTAACAAAAGTGTTTTCAGCCCTGCAGTATACTAATTTATTGCACACATTGAGAGTGGAGTTGTGTAAAAAACACAGTTATGATGCTGGAAAGCACTTTAGATGGAAACATCAAAAGGCACATATACAGCACAGTCTCCAGCACACAGTCGTTTCTCTCCAGGCCCAAAACTGCTTTTTCAACGTGTCTCTTTCTCTCTGTGTGTGTCTGTGTGTTTAGTGTCCAAACGCTGGAAGGCTGTGACATCCTCCTGGGCCCAGAGGTGACGTACGGTCCACCGGGCCTGGACCTCTTCTGCCCAGTGGCCATGACCATCGCACACTGCGCCGAGGTGGACGCCGAGAACTGGAACATCCAGCTCAAGAGAAAAACCCAGGACAGCAAATGGGAGGTGAGAGCTGCAGGACCACACCTGTCAAGTACAGTACAGCCCATCAAGGTCTTGGCTCTGCTCAGACACGGCGTTTGGCTCTCCTAGGTTGTCTTTTTCCTCAATGGCTCTATTCGTTTGTTGTAGTGAAATGTCACCAGGAATAAAGTGAGGGCAAACTCACCAAACCCCAGTGTTAACACTGTTTATGTTTACAGTGCAAAGGCTGCTGCACCCCAAGACTAGACTAGAAATGACATTAAAGTGCCGATGCATTGATTTTGTCGACAAAGTAAACACTAGGAAAGAGCAGTCACAGCATAAAAATGTTAAAAAACTCTACGTACTATTGAGGTCCTGCTGTGATGTCACCATCTAGCATCGCCATATTGACGGCAGGAATCAATGCACTCGCATCCATAAATAAGATGTATGTGACCACCATACTGCTCAGTTTGTTTACATGCCTAAAATAGTATTATTTGCCCATGCAACTTCAGCTGCAACATCTGGATCTAGTGACCTGGTGAAAAATGCTCCAGTGTACAAAAGAAAGAAAGACAAACAAAAGCAACACCTGATGTTTCCACACATCAAAATGATACCTGTATGCTTTCCCGTGAGTTCAGGTTCATCCCACATGAGACCCATCTGGTTCTCAATTAGCTAATGCAACTGCAGCTGATATCTCAACCGGCTGCAGACATTTAATGACAAAACCACTGAGTCTCTGTTGTTCCCCTCACCTCTACATAGTTTTCAACTTGGCTTGTTCAACCCTCTCCAGCAGCATCAGGCAGAGATTTTAAACAAAACAGCTCCACACGCTACCTGCTCAGCACCAAGCTGCAGGCAGACATGGTTAGCAACAAGCTGGCAAGGAAATTAAGAATGTAAATGTTAAAACAATATTTATCTCTTTAGAGCAAGTGGGCTCTATGAGTCTCGTACAAACCGGAAATACTAGCTGGGTATTGCTAGCTAGCTAGCTAGCTATGTTTGTGTTAAAGGTGTTGACAGCCCCCCCGAAGCCCCCTACCCTTATCACATCAGAAATATAAGTACCTAAACTTAAGTCACTGCCGATGTGCTAGCAGGTAGGGTAAGCCTCCTTTGTGTTGCTGGGATGTAGCAAACGGTGGCGTTTCATACGGACGTTGGTACCTACAGTGTAAAATACTTACGCTTTGTCACGCTGTCTGAAAGCCTCAGTTAGGTGTGTCTTTCATTCCATACAGTAACTGGACATCGCTCAGTGTAGGACAGTGAGTAGACGTTACTGTCATTTTTTTGACATAAGACACCATGGGTCGTTGACTCTGTTTTCTTCCTCTGTTTGCTTTATTTATGTGCTTTGTGGTAAAAGGCCCAGTTGAATTATGTGTGAGCCATAAAGGACTGTTGGGCATTTGTGGGTGAGCTGATTGATCCGGTTTATGCTCTCTGTGGGTCCAGAGGGTGATATAAGGCCACATGAAGGTAACACTGCTGGTGCGGCAGGAGGAAAATAAAGAAACAATTACAGCGTGTAATGGCGCGGCTGCTGTCAGTCAGTGGGGGGGTGGGGTTGTGATGGTGGTGGGGGTTACAACAGGGAGGTAAGGGGCCGTTAGACAAGGAAAGTATCGATTAGTGGATCAGGAAAGACATGGCACGGTGAATTTAGATGTGAGGCAATCAGGAGGAGAGTCATGGAGATTGTTTCTCTGCTGACAGAGGCTCTCCATTGGCTTCCTCATCAACCCCCACCCCACACACACACATACCTAACACACCATCGACACCTATCACAACCAAGCCTTGCACCTCTCACCCGATATTTTGTGTGTCTTGTTAGTTTGCTCAGATGCTGGGGAGCAGGACACGTTCTATTTTCCCAGCTCTGTATGTGAACGTGTTCCAACAATGTCAGCTTTTGTCTATTTTTCCTCCCCTGTGAAGGAGATTGTTTTTACTGGTCTGGATGAAGTCCCAAGAGCTTAATCCCAAACCCAAAGGCAATCGCTTTTGTCACTTTGCATTATTTGCTAGTAGTTTTGAGCAGTAACCAGCAAGATGATAACAAGACAAGGGGGGGGGGGGGGTTGTATAATGAAGACAATATTCAGTCTGGCAGTAATGCAAATGTAAGTCAGACGTAAAGTTTTAGCAAGCCAAGCATGGGTCAGAATAATGAATACCACAGGTTTGCCCCTGGCTGTTGTGGTGGTTGTCAGCGCTTAAAAGAGCTTGTTATTTAGAGGAAAACCAGACGGATTTGCTTTCTACAGTGTCTGTCTTTTGTCCTGAATAATGTTTTTCTAAGTGATGGGGATTGTTGCTGTAAAGAATATTCAAGAGTTGCAGTGGCCTCTGCATGCACAACGGTCTTGCCTCAAGCAAAGATGCAACATGATGGACCTTCAATTCAAGTTCAGTTTTACAGTTTCTTTCTGAGAGTGTTTAGAAAGGTGCTCAGGTTAGGCCAAAGGTACTGGAGCTGGCTATCCCACTCCCACAGGGTCCATTTCTGTACGCAATGACGTGGGATTCATATCCATCATCTTCTGTGTCTTACATCGTTTGGAAATTTTACATAAGTGGATGCCAAAATACAGAAATCAGAAGTAGCAGCTTAGCCTTTCTTCTCCCATCTTCTTCTTTGTAATCTTTCCTGAGATGCCACCCGATGCCTCTGCAGATTAGAAACCACGTCGGCTCTCTTCAGATCATTCAGTCAGAGATTAATATGGTTTTGAAGAGCTCTTCTGCTGAGGTCTTGTTTGCTTACAGAGGTGTCACCACTGTATGGCTTTTTATTGTATATTTTCTTCCTCGTCCTGTGAGTTCAGGCAAATACTTAACTAACTAGGTTTGCCATTGTGTGAACAAAAAAAAAGAAAAGGATTTCTTTTCAGTGTAAGAGGGCAATTTCTCAAGATGGGCACGTGTTGTGAATGAGGAAGGGAAGGAGACTGGAGGGAATATGAATAAATACAAGATTCATGTCTCTTTGAGATTTTACTCTAATATTAAGAGGGCGCAGAGATCCTCAGAGCTTCTTGGTTAGAAATAATGAGTTACCACTGAGGTCTAACCTAAAGAGAGAAAGAGGACGGTTTTGACAATGCATAATACCTGCAAATGCACAGTGCCATTAAAATACCCTTATTTCAGCTGTCATTAAAACACCCTACCCACAGAAGACTCCTCAGCACTCCCAGCCACAGTGTATTATTATTCAGTACCATACTGCAGTGTATTAAACTGTGCTTATGAGGATGCAGAGAGCATAAGTACAAAATGCATAAACATAAAGTATTCACAGAAGGAATCCCTGACATGAATGTGGCTGAACTGAGTGGTAACAATTCTCACTTTATGTTGCATCTCATTGAGTGATAAAGTGCCTGATTCTGTAGAATGAGCTGATAAACTCTTTGCTAACAGGAAATGAATTGGGCCCGATTTATTGCGTGGATTTGGCTTTATAAGGTCTTAGAGTTGTGATACAATGCTGGTCTGCTGCCAAGGTTGCCAAGATATTCGTTGTTCACTGAGCTGGAACTTTGCACTAAGTACTTACGTTGTAGTGTTATATCCCATCAAGCATGGTAGTATGTCAAAGAAGAAGGTTGGATATTTCTGTCATAGTCAACAAATCCCATGAAAGTACCAAAATCAACGTGTTAATCTGTCTCTCCCCCGCGACCCCGTATGCAGGATAAGTGGTTGACGATGGATGGATGGAATCTGACATGTACATTTACAGCCCATCTGTAAAACTCTGATTCATCATCACTGACCAAATCAGTAACTTTTCACTTTGGAACTCCATGAGACTGCATATACCAGAGAGAACTGTGAGGTGTGCCTCCCCCAGGGGGCGCAGCAGAGCTTATAGAGGGGCGCAGACATGAGGCAAGGAAGCTGTGTCAGGTGAAAGGGATGGAGACACACAGTTTATGGAGGCAAGGTACATTTCAAGCAGCACTCGATACTCGCAATTTGCCTCAAAATTCATCCTCTCCGATGTCTATTGTGAATAAGCGTTCATAAATCCACTTAAGAATCACTCAAAAAATTATTCTCTGTGCCAGAACTGCCTATAGCTTATTCAGCTTACTTTATGCTAAGCTAATGTTTCCTGGCTGTAGGTTTCAATGTCAATTTTGAGATGCAGCATCTCGTTTTCAAAGGGTCCAAAAACACAAATACATTATACAAAGACAAAACATAACTAGTACACAGCGAATACAACAAAAACGAATACACAAAAATACACAGAACGAAAACAGTTGGCTCACTCTGCTGCTTCCACCCACACCCTAGACAGACAACAACTGAAACACAAAATTAGAAGATACCAGTTAACTTGCAACAAAAACGAAAGATATATCAAAGTTTATACATCTTGTAGCTAATATAATAAATACATCACATTCACTTGAAATACACATGTTCAATTCACTTTACCTCACAATAAGAACCAAAAACAACATTTTCCCTAAAATGTGGAACTATTCCTTTTAAATTTTTTAAATGGGTCTGTAATTTCCTTAAACCGCTGGCAAATGTAGTTTTTGACAAATATACCTCAAACTGTAGGGAATAGCACATTTTTGGGGGACTATTTTCAACTGCATACTACTACATATTCAGTGAGTACTTACAGCAGTTGGATGTTTTGTGTGTGTTTGACTGAAAATAAACTACAGAAGAATTAAGTTTTTTTAGACAGTGCTTGTTGGTAGGATCAGTTTATGGTCGGCTTGGGTCTTTTCATTTTGACAAACAATCTCAAATCATTTGGCAGCTCCAGAACTGCTACTAAATAGACCTTGTGGTGAGATCATTTTCTCCCCTGTTGTTTCCAAAGTCAAAACTGACCCATAAACCTCAAGACAAATATAGAATATCACTTAGTATTTCCATGTTGTTGTAATACTCTCTTATAGGTCAAAACACATGTTGGCATAATGGACTGTAGTTATCTGGCGTGTAACGCTGTTCTAAAGCAACCCAACAGTGAGTGAACAGAAGGAGGTGTGCTGTCTTGCAGGGCATGATGGCTGGTAACCTGCCGTCTGATTGCCATACTGCCAGTTAACTTGTGATTATTTGTGAGGGAATAAATACTGCTCCTCAGGCTCAAATTTTTAGCATGCTGTTTGGTCTCACAGCTCCTCATTAACTTGTATAATCACGTGTATTTCATGGCTTCTTTCTGCTTGCTAAGAAGGGGGTTGCAACATACTGTGTGATAATGTTGTGAGATGGTTTGGATAATGAAGGGAAGATACTTAAAGGGGAATTCGGTGCACTTTGCCTTTCTCTCCCAGATTTATCCTAACGCAGGAATCCCTTACATTTTGGCTCTCGAGTAGGTTAAAAACAAATCTTTACTTATCATATTATGCATCATTTGCAGTATTTGTTCGAGTATATTTCCCTTGAAGTAAAGGGAGTTTTCAGTGGAATTGGTGACACATCATTTCTGATTTCCGTCACAACAATGCACTCAACCAAGAGTGCTTGAAACGGCATTCGTTTGAATGAGCTCACTTGTTCATTGCAAAAGCACTTTTGGATATTTCCCTTGGCTTGTCATTAACTCCCATTGGTATAATAGAACTCCCACTCCTTGCTGGGTTTGTTACACTGTAATGTATTCTGTTCAATGTCTGATGTTTGAAAGGAAAGGAAAGGAAAAAATGAAAGCCAGAACATAAAATATTCCTTCATTCCAGTTGGATATAATGAAGTATTTCCTGGCTGCTGTTGTCACCTCATAAATTATACTGTCTATATTGTTTATAATGACTATTTTGTGTTCTGCTATGTACTAACACCATCACTCATGTAGTAAATGGTTTTTCACATTCTCAGGAGACTGCTCACAACTGGTGTGGGTTTTTGCTTTGTGATTTAAACCTGTGTTATGTTACCTACACCATTATGCAACAGCAATGTACCAGAACTCAATCCATAATACATTCTACTGTCTACAGAAGTTCATTTGCACAGTTTTCTAGCCGTGATATCCATGTAGCTCTGGGCATGAATATGCAGTTCTATAACAGGCTTCAGCAACAAACTCTGCCTGCAACTTTGTGTATAACAGACGGTATGTTGAAGGGTTTCTCTGCGGCGGGAAAGTCTCACGCAGTGTGTAAAACAAAGCGATTATTTGTGATTATTGGAGGTTGTTTATAGCTTAGTTTTATATAATGTGAGTGGATTCTAATTCTAATTCCCCTCTAAGGAGTTAAAATATATGTTCTCATTAACTAGATAAACTTTAAATGTTTCACACTTTGTGAAGTGGTATTTGTATAGAAACAGAAGAACTGAAGAAATGTGTATTGTATGTAGGGAATTGGGAGCTAAAAATTACAAATGTAAACAAGTGCAAGATAAGCCTTTATGATATAGTTAAGAATATATAGTATGTGGTACTTAAATCTGATCTTAGTGTTAGTGATCTTAGGTAAATTAATCTGCCTTGCTTGGTGTCATCCAAGGTATGCATATTGACAATTTTGGGAAAAAGTAAAGACATTAAAGATATGTCCAAATTTAATTATAGGACCTTTCGCGGCTGTAATTAAACTATAGTTAAAGGTTCACACCAAGACAGGACTCATCTCCTTTGGTCATCGGCCCCATAACCCAGCTTTTTGGCTGTAGTTGAACCCTTATCTCTTGATCAGCCTACTTTTCTGCTGAACTGAATTGAAGCACTAGAGACGGAGAAGTGAGTGTGGTGAACAAGTACATTAAAGTGTGTAACCCCTGCTGACAGAACTAACCTGTCTAAAACTGTGACTATGGTGGTGGAGATGATATGTAAAGACTGTGTACTTGTATTCAGTATATGCTTCAGTGTTCTAGCTAATGTAATGACACACCTTTCCATTAGACTTTCTAGAGTGCAAGAAGCTTTTACTGCGTGTTTGAATACTAAGAATTTGATATTATAGTGCAAATAATCTTTTTTGCTCCATTTTATTCTCAGCAGGAAACAGGTAAGAATATCCTATTTGAAGAAAGAACCAACCTATATTGTATGTACTATTATTGAAGGCCGTATTTTACTGTCTAGAAAAATTTTCTCCAAAATAATCTCCCTGAACTGAAAGATCACTCAGCATTTAAATATTAAAGAAAAAATATTTCTGTATTTGATCAATTATGCAAGTGAAAAATGCACCATATTTTATGTTCTTGCTGAGAGTCATGGGGTCAGCATCACCAAAAGCAGCTTTAGGCTGATAACATCAGAAAGATACCTAATGCGTCTTTTGGGTATGTCTTCTGTTCTTTATTGCAGGAAGTGATGACGGTGGAGGAGGAGTCCACTTCCTGTTACTGCCTGATGGACTCGACAAACTGCCACTTGCTGCTAGACCAGCCGGGCTCGTACGCCCTGGTGGGCGAGCCCCTGACGCAGGCTGCCGTCAAGAGGCTGAAGCTGGCTGTGTTTGGGAGCATGGAGGCCGGCTCCGTGAGCTACATCCTGCGGGTGTACTGTGTGGACGACACGCCACACGCCTTTCAGGTGGGGGAAGGACACTGGTTGTGTGTTTGGCTCACTGTTTTCTTATGTTTTGTTCATTCAACAAAGGTTGAGTCATGATTTTTACCAAGCCGAGTCTGAGGTTATAAACTGATAATTCGTAGGGCAAAAGCTAGTTAATATAGACTGGTGCATTTCATTTATTGGCCATGGTGGAACGTCTGCTCTCTTCTTTACGCCGTCAAGAATGTAAGAAAGGTAATACTATTTACTCCTTTTGCCAGTGTTTGAGTTCATTTGTTTACCCTGGGATCTGGCAGCATCATGGAAGTTCCTTCTTTAGCTGTACGACTTAGTACAGTACTTGTTTCTCATGTTTGCTAAAGAAGAATATGTGTAGTGAAAAGTGAAAAGTTCTCCCTTTAATGCATGATGCCTACATATACAAAAAACCCTCAAAGGTAAATTTACTGTTGCAGCTAATGGCAACAAATTTGCAGGACAGACTTAAAGCTGCATTACTCGATGTTTTTATATTAAGTATGGATCAAATCACTTTGTGTAATTTGACAGGTGTCACTCGTAGTGACAAACCCACGGAGAATATCACCTGGCTTTGCAGTTCCCCTCAGTGTTGTAGCATTTTCAGCTCATTGTTTTGGTTTTGCTGTCCGCAACTTTACTGTTTCGGTTCATTGTCATGGTTCTCATCAGCCTTATTTCCAGTGGCAAGCTATTTTCAACTGTTTTCAGCCAAAAGCTCGGATATACCCATTGTTACACTACATACCTAGCGACAAACAACAGACAGACAAAGTTAGCAGCTAGGTGGTAAACATAATGGAACATTTGGCAGCTAAAGAGCCTGAATTTTCACTCAGGAGCTGGTGGAGGATGAAAACAAAACCTAAAAGGAAAGTGAATATTGGACTGACACTAGTCAGTTTGCCAGAAACACAACTCCAAATGAATGCAAATGTTGTTCTGTGTCTGCAGTGCCTTGCTCCAGTGTGCTCATTACTCTGGGTAATCCACAGAACCCACTGTCCAAAGTTTTCAAGGGGACTATTTCTTAGTCCCCTTGAAAACTATTAACAATGAGGTTTGTATAATATCCTGAGCTACAAGGACAAATTAAGTTCCATTCATCTCCATTATATTTCGATTATGTATTGGGTTGGAGGAACTATCTGCATGACATCAAAGTAAGACTGCTACATTGTGATTTAATGTACTGTTGGCTTGTCACTAATGAATCATTGTTTTTTTGCGAGAGGGAGAGAGGGGGAAGCATTTCTTACACATTTCCCCAACAGTCCAGAATTCAAAGCAGCAAATCGGCAATCTTTCTGCAACTGTGCATCACAACTGTGCAACACTTTGCCTCTCTGACCTCTTTCACAAAAACGTGAGAATGCACATTTTCACTTTAGCAATTTCAACTCTTTTAGGAAGTACATATTGCAGGTCATGGCCTAGATTCAAACTGAACATCTTGTGTGTATGTGGTTTTTGCCTCGGCTGTCTGAGACAGCAGGGACCTCAGCCTGTGCTGCCTACCAGTTAAACCATGTGAGTGATTGCAGATTCATTACCACTGTGAAACAATGCTGCAGAGCTGATAGTGGGGACTCTGTAACAGCCTGACAGATTGTCTTCCAGAGGTTTTAATAGACAGAGACAAAGGCTGCCATACTGTAATCACTGCCATTCAAATGTTAACCAATCATTCTTCTTTTATCTTGTTTGATTTGATTATCATTCAGCGACCTATAAGGTTTTTAAGCATTGAGCTCTCATCAGTGAACATCAGGGAAATTAAGCTTCCCTTCCTCCCCGGAGAGACTAGACTAACAGAAGAGCTGAGCCGAGCTGAACAGAGCCTCACGAGCCTCGTGACTGACTCTGCCTCCCGACCGCCTTTCTGTCATGTCACAGCCGTCAGCAGCAGCTGGCTTTAAAATGCATTCTGGATTTGGTTTATGAATTTCCATCCTGCCAAGCAGATGCCAGACTTTTACGTATCCCTTGGGCTCTTGTCTGTTAGCACCACATCTCTGCTGTGTGTTTTTCCAAGCTCCGGTACAATCACAGACTGGATTCTGGATCAACAGGAAACCTGATGCAACACAAACACTTGTGGGAGACATTTTCTTCAGCAGAGACCAAGGAAGGATGAATTTCTGATATTTTCTATGATATTCCTCAGCAATGCTGCTGTCTCTTTTAAAAGAGAAGCTCTTCAACAAGTCACATTTTCCACATATTTATATCGAAATTGATGCACTTTTTAAAGACTTCATCATCCCATTCTAGAATTAACAGATCATTCAGTACATGTAAAGATCTTAAAATTGCCCCAAAAATGTTGTATCAGCTGTAACAACAAACGCAAGTCTTGTTGCTTCGGAATGGGCCAAAATAATGGCCCTCCATTTCCAAGGTCACAGCATTCAGAATGTAGTGGGGAGACAATGGATACACCTACCTACCTGAAAATACCACCTATATTAGTATTCTGCTGGAAGATGTTACCTTCCAGTGTAAATGCTTCCAGAAAATACTGTTCACCTCAACCTTTAGCCTTGGCAGAGGTTTCTACACTGTCCTGAATTCTAACATCATCTTCATCTGTTTTTTTTCAATGTGATGAACAAAATGATTTTTAGCACAGTAGTTATTATGTGATATATAAATTGGGCCGGTGGTGAGCTGTTAAGTCTGTGTTGCTTGGACGTCCCATAGATATTACTAGCAATGCACTTTCTGCATGTTTCCCATGGACTGTATATAAGAAGGGGATGTAGCCACCGTGACGTCACCCGTTGGTTTGTGGACTACCATTTTGAAGCCTCGAGATTGGCATTTTGGCTTTTTGGAACCAGAAGTGACCATATTTGGATGAGAGGGTGGAAATGGGGAGGGACACGCAGTGCTACGCCTGACCAGTCGAAATAGTAGCGACTTGTCTATCACAAGTTAGCGATGCCCCAAAGCATACTTTACTATAATTTACAAAATAAACATCATGCTATAATGAAGAATACTTTCAAGTAGATAATAAGACAATAAACTCATTAGGAAAGTGTTTACTGAGATAGAAAAAGTGACAAGTAGTGTCATTTTCTCATTGACTTCTATTCAATCAGACTTCTTTTTGCAACCAGTTGAGTCACCATGATTAGAAATAATGCAGGTTTAAGGAACTTCCATGTTGGCTTCACTTTTCAGACCCAGAGTGTGTGTAATGGTGCTTTCAGACCAAACGTGAATTTAATCCTGGTGGAAAGCATTGGATTCACGTTGATTAAAATGTTGATTCTCAGGGCAGACTGAGCAATATGGATGTAAATCTCTCAGTACATAATAAACATCACTTATTCAGTCAAGTCATACTATAAATTAGGGCTGGACAATAAAACAATAGCCTGTCAATAGTTATCACAGTATAATATAACAATATAAAAAATGTTTAATAAATATGCAATGTATGATCTGATTTATTTGAATGATGAATAAATTAGCACTTACTTTTTAACTTACTAACTAACTCGTGCATATTTTTTGAAAAAATTTAACATAATAGTTTTGAATTTTCTACCTCAGATTTGTGAAGTGATCCACTGTTTGATAAGTGATTTTCATGTTCTGACCATAAAAAATTGTTTAAACCACAATTAACCATCTGTGTTTTTCAACTTTCATTAAGGAGCAAAAATCAGCCTTTAAACTTGATAGTAATCATAGTAAAGCCCTAGTATAAATAGTATTTTAGCTTTGAAAATGTTAAAGGAAACCTGGGGAGCCAGTTTGTGAGTGATTCTTCTGTATAACGTTAGGCCCAAGGATCTACCGTGTGAGTATTTCACTGTCATGCGCCCCTAAAAATAGATTTACGAGCACAACCAACCGTAATATTCCACCAAGCCAGGCCAATACCAGAGGCTGCAGTTTCAGGACCGCAATCCTACGACGACCAGAACTGCATTTCTAGGACCCTTGTTTACTTTGATACTGCTAGCTAGCTGGCTGGTTAGCTTGCTAGCTAGCAGCTATGTAACTCTTTAGAGCTCCCCCGAAGCCAATTACCCTTACCACAACCATCACAGAGTGTGTGCCTAAACTTAAGTTATTGATTATATGAATGTCGACCGGTTAACCCTATAGCTGCACACAAAAGAACTACGGTCCTAGAACTGTGGTCCCAGGACTGTGCGGGTCATGAAACTGCAGCCTCCGGAACTGCAGCTACATAATATTGCTGTGGCGGCTTGAACAGCCTCGTTACCCAAAAACAAGAGCAAGATGTGCTGTCAGCGGGTGAAGGGGTAAGACAGAAGATAACAGGGAAAATAGAAGCAATATTTGGGTTTGGCTAATGTTAGCAGGCTATTGAGCCAAATCAGTGCCTGTTATTGAAACACGTTCAACTTTTCATAAAGCCATTGTGCTTGTCAGTGTCACTTCGTGAACAGATCAATCACAGCCTGGATAATAAAAGGTTTGATGTGCCAAAGCAAACTTTCCAAATGTTGAACTAATCGTTCTGCATAAATTAATTATTACTGACGAGTTTGTATCCTACTTAAAATTAAAGTTAGAGACTAACTACCATGTAGAAAATTTTTCGTGCACAAAGTTAATTAATAAAAAAGGTACAACCCCAAACTGAAACATCTGTGGCTGGAATGAATATTATACTAGCTATAATATACTGTACTATTATATGATATTACACTTTACTATTATATTAACAATATACTTTACATAGTGTATATGACTGTATATACTAATACAGTCATTTATACTAGCTCCTCCTCCAGGTTGTGGATCGAGCCTCTGTAGTAGCCAGATCCAGGATGCCATTGTGCCAATATGTGCTGCTTCTAGCTGCCTCCGTCTGTGAGCAACATGTTACCCTTGTTCTATTTTACATCTGTTCAACTAAAGTTATTCTTATAAAAACTTTCCATATTTATGCCTGAAAATAAGCTACAGCTAGGTCAGGTAGTTATCAAGTGGTGGGCGTTTGCAGGTAAGCTAACGTTATCTAGTTTGAACCAACTAAAACACAAAATGTTTTACATGTTTTGCAGTAACGTCATAGCCTATGTAAGACAATTCAGGAAATCCGACCAGTCCTTCACATAGAAAACATTTGGCCTATATAGGCTTATAGGCAACTGAGAATGCTGGTGAATGCCTCAATTTCTAGGTGAGGTTACAACCTAGTCAATACAGGGAATACAAATGTTATGAATGTATTTAATTATAATTAATAAATTCCTTCCTCTTTTAAAGGTGTGTTGCTGATTTACAGCTCAAAGTGGCGTAACAGTCTTATATATATCTTATCTCTAAATATATTGAAACGTCTTAAAAGGGTCTTAAAGGTATTGAATTTTACCTCAGGATTCCTGTATATGCCTTGCTTATGTTTTGTACTGATGATTCAACAGGGAGAGTTTAATGCTCATTAAATCCTTTGAAATGAAACCAGTGCTACAAACTATTTTCAATGGAAAGTAGCTAAGTCCTGCGCATAAAATCTCCAGAGGTAGCTACATATGTCACATGCTAATTTGAATTTCTAAAGTAAGAAAAAAATGAAAAAAATGAAATGAAAGATAGCTGACTCTTTACCAACTTCATCACAAGATATTTTTCAATCTGCTACGAAAAATATAAAAAATAACTTGTTCTAGCGAGAACATTTCTGTGGTTGCAGTTGTGGCTCGATCCTGCAGTCACAAGTTTTGGAAGAAGTCGTTTTGGAGCCCTGGACTCAGAAAATAACTCCAACAACTTTTCAATTCTTCTGTCTGGATTTCTCATTCTTGGTTGACATTGCAACACCCCTTAGCTGTAAAACATGATCTAAGACACAGTCACTGTGTGTGATGTGTCAAACAGCAGATCAGCAGCAGCCACAGTCTACACAAAACTTCAGTCATGGCATCTTGACAGCTTCAGATGAGTTCGATCGAGGAAATGTTATCATAGATACAAGCTAGCTATGGGAAAACAAAGAAACCCAGCGTTGTCCAGCTGCTCTGTGTCTAACAGTTTTGAATACCATATTTTAGGTTCCCTGCTGCCACATTTGTTTTTCATATGAAAGTCTTTCATCTGCATTTTGCCAATAATTGATTTTTTTCTTTTTTCCCCCACCTACAGCAATGGCAAGATGCAATACGCCTCGGGCACGCGTTTCTGCAAACATATGCATATAAGTGCATACACACACTCAACCACGCACACACATGCATAACCAAGCTCTTGCATGGACAGCCACTTAGTCAGAATCAGTCAGCGTAGCATGGCATTAGTCACAGCTCTGTTCCCAGTCTTTTCCCTTTGTGATTCAGATAGCTAAGGATAGACAGGCCAGACATGGAACCGTCCCACCGGGACACTGAACAATGATGACAGATGAATAACTGCAAGCGACAATCAAAGTGCTCTTTCATCATCACAAATTCAATTTGGGAGATGGACGTTTGCCCCCCGACGCACACGTCTCCCAAGCATTAAATTCAAGCTTCAATCTGTCATGTTGAGGCTGCAAATGTGATGCTAATGTGAGCAAGAGTTGTATGATTTGCTCGGCGGAGACTTGACGTCACTTCTTGCTGGCCTGTTCCTGTATTAATATTTGTGATGACTCAATTAGTGGATGTGACAGAGGAAGGGATTAGCAACAGGTGTTTGTGCTGATATGCAAAGGTACTGTACCTTCAAAGAAAAGGAGAGGATTCTTAGTTTTCTCTCGTATTCATCTAATTTCTCTTGTGTGTTTTCTTCTAAATTATATATATATAAGAGGTTAAGAGAGGTCTTAACCCCTTTTTCTTTCTGACCCCTCTCCTTCCATTCTCTGCCGCCTTCTCCTTCCTTCCTTTCCCTGCCGCCTTCTCCTTCCTTCCTTTCCTTTCCTTTCTTCATTGCTCTTTCTCCCCCTCCAGGGAGTGGTGGCTGCAGAGAAGACCAGAGGGGGTCAGCTCCTCGAGGAGCCAAAGTTGTTGCCTTTCCGAGCGAACACCTTCAGCCTCCAGGTGTCCATCCAGGATGTTCCCCAGTTCCTGTGGAGCATCAAACCCTTTACCACATGTCAGGTAACCATGGCAGTCACTGACAAGGATACTAAAGTGCTAATTTGCAAGATCCTGTTTATTTTCTGCTAAGAGCTACTTGCTGTGATGTTTCCGCTCTGCTCCTCTCAGGGTTTATTTGCTAAACTGTGTGGGGCTGTGATATGTTTGTGTTTGTTAGCTACAGATTATCCAGTTGGCCATATTTACTTTGTGTATTATGGGGTAGGCCTGGGCGAAAAATCGATTGAATGAATTAATTCGAATTTTTTGTTGCGGGCGATTTAAAAAATAAGTAAATCGAGTTTTTGTGTAATAGCACATTTTTGGCTCCCCGGGGTTTCCGTAGTGTTCGTTTCCCATAGCGACAACATCATACACTAAACAGCAACAGCAAGCGACAAAATGGCTACCGGTGAGAGCGGGAAGTTTGTTCCCAAGAAAGGAATAAAGTCATCTGTTGTTTGGAACTGGTATGGGTTTGCTGCGACAGATGTGGAACAACAGACACCACGCTGCAACATTTGCCTAAAGCCTATCGCAGTGAAAGGCAGCAGCACCACAAACCTATTCCAACACCTGAAACAGAGACATCCAGCCGAATATGAAAAATGCCAGTCTCTCCGCGATGAACAAAGCCGCACTGACCAACAAACCTTATTGCTTTCCTTAAGTAGGGGGGAAATCGGAAAAAATCGTAAATTGAATTAAAGTAAATAAAATCGGAGATTTTATTTTTAGGCCATATCGCCCAGCCCTATTATGGGGTGTATTTTACAGTGACTAATGGGTTGTATTGTATTTAAGACAACTTTCCAAGACAACATTATAACAGTGAACAGCCAAACAGCCAAGTGACCATGCCAAACAATAAACTATTCTGATAACAAATAACAGCCATTATAATGATAATCCAGACATCATTGATACAGCTGTGCATTCACTGAATAACTCAGATCTCATTTTCAAACTCATTGTTGTGAGTCATTCATATCAATTCATATCATCAACTCACCATCTTTGTGTTACTGATCAGAAGAGCTCAGAATGTCCAATATGAAAAACAAAATGATACTAATTCTCTTAAGATGACACACTGGATATTTGCAACCAGCAAAGCAGTCTACTGACCCTTTTCAGTATGAACGTAATGAATTCCCGGTTTCGTTTCGTTTAGTTGATAGTTTGAATCAGCTGTTTTGGAGCAGTGAGATATTTAAAACACAAGGTTATTTAAACAGTTATCCATAAAGATACTACTCCTCACCACAGCCAATGTTGGCATATCCTAATTTGCGTGATGTAGATGTACAAATATTGATAGTGGTAGATATTTTGATGGAACAGTAATTCATTTACCAGCAACAACCATTATTTTTAATGACAAATGTACATTATATTAATAAGATAAACACACTAAAATAAACACGTTTTCCAAACGAACTATGCTGCACACCCTCTGTGCGCACCGCTTGAATGTCATTACGACATGATTAATAATTAATATGATACGATAAAGGGCGGATTTGCGGTCTCTCCTTGAACAGTAGTCTTTGTTGGTTTATTTCAGGCTTTTAAAACTTGAACTTTGTTGCAGTATCACACACATCTGGGGCAAGTAGTGGGCTGCTGTGTGTGAGAGAAAGTGTTGACCACATAATGAGCAATGAGGTCTCTGTCCAGGCTTCTATTATTTATTTATTAATCCCTGCCTACCTTTCCATAGTTATCTGTTTTTTTCCTATTAAATTCAGCTGATTGCAGTAAAATGTCATAGTATATTACTCTTCAAAGGTAAATTATGATTGAGAAGTGTGTGTGTGTTTCTTTTAAGATGACTGGAAGAGAGGCTAAGTTACACTCTTAATCAACGACGATCTTTTTCTGTGACAGGATGTGGCCAGCTGTATGGCCGGAATTAACGTCATATTTTGGCAGAATAAATAAACAGTGCCTGTAAAAAAAGATACTGTTACTAGTTGAATGATTGAAGCAATATACAGTGGGCTTTGTTGCTACATTGGCACTTTAAGTGCTAAGTAGAATAGGCTCAAATCAATATGCTATATTTAAGGAATTAGCCTGCTAGTTTCCCGTTACAATGTTGACTAAATAATTAAATATAAATCAACGACCAAAACCCTCCCCCTATGTCTACGTGATTAACCTTTATAATTTTTGAATGCGTATCCTGTCAAATCGCACGCTTTTATTTTGTAGTTTTTGCGTTTCCTGTCCTGACGGGCCTGACAGTGGAGGTCTGAAGCGGAAGTGGCCTGAGGCATCCTACCAGCTCTTATTTTAGCACTAATAGACCCTTTCTTTCATAAATTACAAAAAATAATAACATTGAAAAAATAATACTTTTTATTGTAATTTAATAGAGCGTATTTTTCTTACTTTCCAATAATAATCAAGTCTGCATTCATAAATGTTTTTAAGTCATTATTTGTTTTTTTTCCTACAATTTTAATACAAGCAGTGTTGGGTAAGTTACTTCCAAAATGTAATAAATTATGAATTACTAGTTACTGTCATTTGAGAGTAATTAGTTATATTACAATATCACTGAATTGTAATGCTTTACACTACTTGCATGTTATTTTTGAGTTACTTTCACTGCTGTTTAATGGACGCATTATTCAGATAGTAAGATGTGCCTGCATAGGTGGGTTCTAGTGATTTGCAGATTACAGTTATAGCTGCAGATCGGGTGGGTCATAAAAATGAACATTCAGATTAATAGTGGGTTGCGGATGGGTGAAATAGGATGAATCATCTCCCTATAAAGAACGCATGAGGTACAGCACCATAACTTCATTAATTATTTAAATCTCCCGACTCTCTGACAGGACTGACAGCAGCCTCTCCAATCATGAAAGTAAATCGTTAAAGACAACTTATATAGAATTCTATGTACGCATGATCCATGATTCATATTAATTTCACATATCATGTTTTTAGAGAAGCTACCATATTATTAAGAGGAGCCAAGCTCTCCCTGGCTCCACCATAGTTTGCACCCTGACTACAATCTCAACCATCGAGTTCCAGCAACAGGAAATAACATTAATCTTTTACTGACAGAGTTATTGTTTTTTTGCAGTGCTGAAATGTTTTGCAGTGTTGGTGAATTATAAAAAAAACAAATAAAAAAACACTTAATTTCATGTTAAAATGCATATGTGTTACTGAGATTGTAACGGGTGTAATATTACCCCAATTACAGCAAAAAGCCATGCATTACTATAATGCGTTACTTTTGTACACGTTACTCCCAACAGTGAATACAAGTAGTGTATTTTACAAATAATTGATACAGCAGCATATTGTTAGGTTACAGAGTTAATATCGTAGGGGCCAAATGTGTTAAAGCTGGGCTAGGAAACTTTGGAGAAACTAACAAGAGACAGATTGATTTGGAAAGTATCCAAGTATCCGAAAGAAGAATAAAGAACTGAGCTGAACCTGTGCTCGTTTTGACACAGCGATCAGGCCTAGCTTAGCATGCATTTTAAACCCGCTCTAAACTGCATCTAAGGTAGTCAGATGCTAATAAATACAACCTTCATAGGCAGTGATGTCTGGCAGCCATACTTATCACATATGCTCCTACAAAGAAGATAGTCAAATCCGGCTTAATGAAAATAATTTCTCTTCAACTCTTTTGTGCTTTAAAACCGCTCTTGTAGCTTGAATCCTGCTGTCATCCACATTCTCTCTTGAGGATCTTTAAGATGGCCGTGACGTGAGATTAATAGCTTTATGTTTGTTTTGCTTGCAGGGGCATTAAGATGGAAGCAGTATATGATGAGGCGCACCGCAGCAGGCTGTGAATGCTGTTTTGTACCTGTTGTTGCCGTTTGCAGAGCAGCTGAGCTGTGTCCCCGCTGTACGCTGTTGTTGCTAAAGATCTGAATGCAGGGTGAAAGCTCTGTGTCTTACACCCACTCTCTCCACAGACTTATTTATGAGGGCTTCGGGATGACAGTCAGGCACCGTGAAGCTGCTTTGGCGGAGCAGGTGTAGAATAATAGCCGAGCGTCATGCCATACATCAAGTCAGCTTTTAGTGCTAAAGAGCATCCGAGCTTTCCACGTCCGTCACTCCTCCCCCTCCGCCCTCCGCCCCCTCCCTCCTCGGCCACCGCTCCCAGACTCAATTATCTGCTGCCGTGAGGCATCCGAGATCAAAGCTGCAAGGGTTAAGTCATCAGTTCGCACCCCGGCCGCAGCTTTTAATGCCACATTCTTCACTAAGAATCGTTTACAGGTCACTTTTAATATGCAGATATGGCGGAGACGGAGTCTAGTAGAGGTCAAGGACGTTTCCACACAGATTCTCTGGAAATTAATTATACATCAAAGGAAATCTTTTCCCCATTCCTCGTATTCCTATTGCTTACAGTACTTAGCCCGCAAGCTGCTTCTGCCATCACAGATACTGTACGAGGGAATCAGGCTCGATAATAATATCAGGATTTTGTCTTTCTCTCTTCAACAATAGTTATTTCCCTGCATAAATACATCAAGCCATTGAGACTTCAAAGCCAACTCTTACCTTTTATCTTGCAGTGTGCTGCAAGTGGCTGTGCATGTGACAGCGTGGCCACATGTAGAACAGGGAGCTGAATCATCTCATTTAGAGCATATGTTAACATTGCTGTGTACTGTGTTATGTTTCTGATGTCCCTCTTCTGCCACCTCAGGAGTTCTCCTTCCCCCAAGTGTGGTGCAGCAACCAGCAGCCCCTGCACTGTGCCTTCTCTCTGGAGAGATACAGCCCTGCCACCGCCCAGCTCTCCTGCAAAATCAGCGTGCGGCAGGTCAAAGGCCATGAGCAGATTCTGCAGGTCTACACGGCTGTGGCCGAGGTGAGGCTCTGCAGCTGCGGGAGCTTGGGGAAGGTGGGGGAGGGTGGAGGGTGGTGGTGGGGGGGTCACTTTCGCATTCAACCTTTATGTAACCTTCCTGGAGTGTGTCCACTGACAGCAGGGCCAGCTCTCCTGAGCTTGCATTGTGTATTAATAGAGCGAGGAGGACACTCTTCCTTCCTCTCTACTCTTCAACAGATTTATGCTAAACGCAGATATCAGAGATCCAGCTGTTCACCGCGTTTAGCGTACATATTTTTTAACCTTTATTTGTCCAGGGAGACATGTGTTCCAGCAAATAGCCTGCATCACATTCACATGCATTAACACCTGGGAGCTGCCCGGTGTAACAACAGTCTTCTGTCAGCCGCTGAGCAGCTCCACTGGAGCAGCTAGGAGTTAGAAATCCTCACTCAAGAGCACCTTGACAGTAGTTGTTAAGGCGGAAGAGAGTGCTACTCATTGATTTTACCCAACTGCTTTTTCACAACCACTCACAAATGTGCTTGTCCTATCTCAAGGCCACCAACACTATTTAAACTTGTGGCATTACAGTCACAAACACGGGTGAAATATTATTTGCAATTAATTTTTATGGTTTGTTTTAATCCTACCTTCATGATTGGTTAGGGTTTGTCAGATAGGAAGAAGAAATAAAAGCATTTATAGGAGCTGTGAGTAGAATTCAAATCATCACCACGTTCATTTCCTCACATACAGTAAAAAGAGGTAGAGAGTCTACACCATTTTACAGTGTGGGTCAGCAGGTTGGATCAATAGTGTCTTCATACAGAGCACCAGCCCAGCCGTTTTAAAGCTGCTCCACGGCCACAGGAGTGAATGCTTTTATTGTCATTGCATGTTTCATACTAAAAAATTAGTCATCTCTCATAAAAGAAACTGCTTCTATTCACTCTTCTCAGACACACACTCACATGCTAACACAGTAAAATAAATATGATCATTAAATATGATAATATATAAAAAATTATATTAGGGCTGACCCCAGATAGTGATACTGATTCGACTGTCAATCTCACAGTCGAAAGAAGGATCATGTCATTTTGGTGATATGGGGGTGCTCAACGTCTGATTTTTCTCTCAATAAGGTAATATATAGCCTATTACAATATACACTTCAACGTTTAATGCTGTAAATAAATATTTAAAAAGAAAAAAACTTTCAATAAATGTTTTTAAAGTGCGTGAATAAATCCAAAATTGTAACCCTAACCCTGGGTCATCAGTGCGCACGTGTAGGCGTAGCGTGTATGTGTGTAGTGGCAGGGGGAACACTTGCTGAAGAGACGGAGGCCCAGCTTCACTGGTGTTGTGCCGAGTTGACTTTCGGATAATTTATCACCGTTGATGAACCACACAAAGAATATTTTATTTTTTTTAAATAGCCGGCTACTTGAAATAGACCCATGAGGAACTGCGACGTGCATGTAGTTGTCGGCAGCACAGAATGCACGCAAAACAGCAAGACCAGTGAATTACAGGTGAGAGAGAGAGAGAGAGAGAGAGAGAGAGAGAAAAAAAGGGTCTTCAAAAAGCCTCAGTTTAGTTTAGTGCCCAAACCCAAATTTGTGTTTGTTAAAATGTATTAATGTGAGAAATGTTGTAGTCTCCTCATCAGTCCACACATACCTGATGTTTTATCGAAACACCAACTTTTCCACCTCAGCCATGCGGGTTAATGCACAACTTGAAAATCTGCAATAAAAAGTGGTGGATAGACACATATATCGTTGTCCTGGTTAGGCCTGTTGCCTCACTTTGAAAAGCCAACGTTATTGCATTTTACAAAGTCAGCAAACAGCCTGACCTGAGATGATAACCGACAACTTGAAAATTACATATATAGTTTCTGATGTGCATGTATAACTACACTACTGTGTGCCTCTACACTGAGCTCTGCATCCCTCCTTATGTTGAGCGCATTGCGTTGTGTTGATCATGTGCAGGGCGTTGTTACATCAGCTTTCCATTCAATAAACGGTCCAGCCCTCAGCCCTGACAAAGAATGTGATGTCAGGGCTCCAGTGGGTGATAAATAAATACTGAGCGGAGCTATCACAGACTGTAAACAGTGTAAGAGAGCGATGCTGTTGGAAGTCTGGCAGCGTGATGTACTAAACAGGTTGATGGCACACAGCAGAATGGCAGTAATACTGTGTTTCCAAACACACTGCGTCAGTGTTTCTATATGTCGACCACGCACAACCGCTCAGTCACAGGTGAACAAAAGTGAACTGCGAGTCCACCATAGCCGGCTGGAGAGTGAAGCGAAACTGTCAACGCATGCATGAATTTGTCAGCCGTATGGGCATGAATTCAAGTGGATGGGAGATGGAGTGCATTTTTAAGGTAAATAAGTGTAATGTGACCATACCTTTAGAGGTCAGTTGGTCAATTCTTTAGTCAATGGCTGCCAATAAAATAAAAATTAAAGGAACTTCAGGAGACGACATGCGTGCGTGAGCTGGATGTGCCTCAGGCTGGATATGATGGGGTATCTGGTGGACTGTGATTTGAGACCAAACAGGAAGTCAGGAGTCAAAGGGGCGGATAATTATGTTGTCGACAAGGGCAAACACATTGCAACTCAAGACAACACATGCAAATAGACAAAAGGCAAGCAAGTTAAGAAAACATCTTCATCAGTTTGACAGCACATGCACAGCATTTAGCTGCAAATACACAAGCGTGCTGCAAATTAGGGCTGCGACCGTTTAAATTCTCCTACTAGTCACTAGTACAAGCCATTAATTAACAAGTCTTTGCACATTTATGAGATTAATTTAATTATTTCAATATATTTTTGGGGGGCATCAGAAAATGGGTTGAGGTCCAGGGCTAAGGAATTAATGTAAACACTACTTCATTACAGAGAAATACAAAACCGTAATAATGAGCCTTTAAAATATACATTTTATAAGAGGCACGCAGTGAGATGCCTGTTAACATCAGGCGGTAATGATTCTGAATGTATCAGATCAAACAGCAAGGAGACTGAATATTTCATTCATTTATTTCAACACAGTGTAACATCACACAAGTCTCGTTCAAAGCACGGGAATGAAAATAACTTCCAACTTCACAAAAACAAATACTCTTAGACTTATTATCTTGGTTTTGGAGACTGCGTTCTGTGCTGGCCTGTGATCAATGGGAGGCTGCTGAACCCATTTCTGTTAACCACTCGCTCTGATCCAGTTGTGGTGCTCATCAGCGCCTCTCCCTGGCAGCATTTCCCACTGGGTCCTTGCCCCGGGTCTGAAAACCTCGTCTTCCAGGTCAGGTCGTCGTTTTTTCCCGGAACTAACTGAGCAGTGAAAACATTTAGGGGGCAGCCCTACTGCAAATCACACAACTTAACCAAATACACAAAGCGACAACAGGAGTCTTGCCAGCGGACACTGACACATCTTGGACATGCATGTTGCTGTCATGTTTGTGTTGTGGGTTCTGCTACTGCTGAAAAAAGTGGAATTCTTTCAGTAGTTTGAATGATTTGTGAGGAGACTCAGTGTTCATGACAGATATTAACCTTTACTATCCGGTTCACCAGTGTTGACAGACGGCCTGTGGCCTGCATGTAATCATATAGGCATTATTAGACCAGAAATATCTCAAGGTAAAAGCTACAGAAAGCCGAGCATTCTAATGATAGACAACCTCAGCTTCAATGTTTAACTTACAACAGAGTTCGATAGTGAACCCATTCATTCATTGCTGTCTGTGTGTATGCTCATATTTACAGTATGCTTTAAGTACATATTGTGTTGAGTGTGGTGGATGAAGTCCCTCTTTAGCTTTCTAGAGAATGGTGTTTTGCTTATTGTGAAAGTAACTGTGTGCTTGCTCACCTAGCAGGCCGCTGGGTTAAAGTGGTTCTGAGCAGTGGTAGGTGGGAGGCAGGCCTTCATTGTTGGGATCATAGACTGTATATAAGAAATGACTTTGTCTAGCGAACAACAGTCTTAAAACTAAATGTACTCACCAGAGAAAGTGAACAGCCAACTCCTAATAAGCTTTTTCAACGACGCTGGTTAAATTTACACAGTGTCTGAAACATACTCTGCTTTATGGTCCATTTTAAAATAAATGGGACCATTATTTACTAAATCAACATCATTTTGTATTGAAGAAAACTTGAGACCATAAACTCATTATGAAAGTGTTTACTGAGGTAATTATTCAGCTGAGAAGTAGGGTCATTTTACCATTATTTCTAATGTAGCTGGGCTTCTTTTTGCTACCAGAAGAGTCGCCCCCTGCTGGCCGTTCGATAGAATGCAGGTTTGAGGGACTTCCGCGTTCGCATCAGATTGCTTCCCTCTTGCTTGGGATCCATTGTAACTGAGCTGAATTCAAACTGATTCACCCTCTGTTTACCCAAACTGAGCAAACTCCCAACATTTAAAGCCACATTTTAAGTCCACATCACTGAGTGTTTTATAATCAAAAGATAGGTTTGGGGTGGAGTATTGCTTTCATTTTGAGAAATGCCAGCACTAACTGCGTGACGAGAGCCTACCAGATGTCTCCACATTTGTCCTATTTGTTTCAAGTGTAGGCACTGATGTTTTAAAATGTTACACACCTGTCTGAATTGTCCTGACCCAGTAAACCCCGTCCATCTGGCTCTCCAGGCTGGTTAAAAGAAGCACAGAGTGACATTTGCAATTCCTATCTGACCCCAGTCTGATTATAGTCTGTTTCTGTTCTGTTCCTCCAGACTGAAAAGGAGTCAGTTCCATTTTTTATGCAGACAGACTGCACCATCACGTCCCAGACGGGGCCCAAGGCCTTCAAAATCCCCTTGTCCATTCGCCAGAGGATCTGTGCCACCTTCGACACTGCCAATGCCAAGGGCAAGGACTGGCAACTCTTAGCCCAGAAACTCCACTTAGATCGGTGAGTGCATGATGTGCATCCTCTCTGAGATTGCACGATATATTCACATTTTTCTCTGTAATGGCCTCGCCATGAACACATGCAGACAAGAATTATAACAATCCTGTGAGTGTTGTTACCCTCACGAATGGGGCTTTATATGCTTCTTGTTGTGAGGTACCTTTTATTTCTCATGTTGTTTCTCAGCAGCAGAAGACAGGGCTGGTAATTGAACTGTATGCTGTGTTTATGTGTGTTGTGTTTTTTTTGCTGGCCCTATTATATGATTAATTAAAATCTAAAATAATGTTAAATCAAATTCATCTCTAACATTTCTGTCAGTCAGCCAAACAAAATGTGATGACTTATTTTTCACTTGTTTGTCCTTTTTGATGAAATAAAAAATATGTAATATGCATTTATGAGGAGATACTACGCTAATATTTACGCAATCCAGTTGTTGTCTTTGCTTCTATATTTGGTCTTAGCTTGTGGCAGCTATAATCTCCTGTTAAGTGCATGAATCATGAGACGCTGGTATCTAAGAGTCCTTTGAGATTCCAAATTATCCAGATAAGCTTTCTTCTCCAAGTTGGGCGGCTTTGAACTGAGCCTGATGTGACCAATGGCTGCAGCCTTTTATGTTGCTTGATGATTTTTCTCTTGTGAAGCACGAAGGAGTGGCAGTGAAACACTGCCCCCGACTGGATTCAACACAACATGACACATACAGTCATTGTATTGGCATGGCAACAAGCCGTCCTTTGTTTAATTTTGGCAGCACCTGAGAATTAAATCCAAATCAAACAGTGTTTGCCAGTAATTACCCATCTTTTGTGGTGGTAATTTATTTTTATTATGTTTTTAAGAGTTTTAATAGGTCCTACTTTTTGTTTTACCTACAAGATGGTTTTGTTTAGTGCACTAAGAAATTTAAGGTTAAATTTATTTTCAGTTACAGATATAATAAGTGGATTTGCTTATAGTCAAATGAAGAGGACCCAAGGACCCATATGGATTTTGTTAGTAGTGATCCAGGACTGGCGTTTGGAGTGTTGTGGGACATGTGGATAACCGTTCTTTGTGAATTTCATTCTCTAACTAGGTATACATTTTAATATACATAATTATAGTAAAACAAATCCATTTTGCATGGGATAATGGGACCAGTGTGTGAAGTACAGTATAAGGGGTTCATTTACTTTGACCTGACAGACCTACCTGTAGGATCTTCTAGAAAATAAATGTTTGGGTGTCTGTCTGTCTATCTATCTATCTAATAGATTTTTAAACATTTAATAATATGTTTAATATATAATATTGATTGGCAACAAATCCAATGAAAAGACCAGCCAAGAATGAACTGATTAATAGTATAATTACAGTATTGTGTATATAGAAGCAGGATCTATATATCATTCCTCTGTGCCAAATACTAGAGCACCAAATGTGTATGGATGAGAATGTATTTATTTGTGGCCTGTTGTGTCATATAGGAGCTATCTACTGAAGTGAGCATGCTAACCAGCCAGCCCCAGGCCATCCTGGATTGTAATATCACTTTGTACCTCGAGAGGCAATAGTGTGATAGTATAGCTCAGCTGTACCTTACCACTTGAACCCGCTGTGTCTTCGTTGTCCCCGAAGTCAGAGTCACCTCAGTACTGTATTTCCTATTGCCACACAGCCTCCTTGGTCTCGTAGGCTGTGTTTGGTCCCGGTCTGGCCATGTTAACCGGAAGCTTGCCGAGCCTGCTTCTGTTGCCCGCTCGCCCGGCTCCATTTCTGGTTCTCAGTCAGCTAATAGGACTGCTAAGTTAGCTGCACGTGTAACTGAGCTAAAAGCAGTTAGCTGTGATATGCTGCCCCTGATTTTTTTGGAATATGAATTAGACAGTCTCAGTTCTTCCACATTGTACCTTTAAGGTCCACAGTTTGAGAACTATTTTCCTTGTTTTCTGTGCATCAAATCACACTCAACACTCTTTCAAAGGAAATTCAAACGATTTTTCTCATTTACAGATTCAATTTGACTCACATCTAGTATAAGATAAATACATACATCATCAGTAAGGATACAGTCCATATTTAAAGCCAATACTAAACATTTTGCCAGTGTTTTGTCCCTGAGAGTGACCTCTTCCTGTGTCATTCATTAATCCGGCTTTGTGTGCTCCTCTACAGAAACCTGGGTTATTTTGCAAAGCAGTGGAGCCCGTCGGCGGTCATACTGAGCCTTTGGGAGGCTCGCCACCAGGACGGTGCTGACCTTGACTCTCTTGCCAGTGCCCTCGAGGAGATTGGCAAGATCCACTCCAAAAGCTCCCCCAAGGACCAGGATGAGCCAGAGTCTGACTTCAATCACATACAAGCGGGCAGTCTGTGTGGAACGGGCAAACTAAAAAATCAGAAGACAGAGGACTCTGCTCCTGAATATACAGGCTGAGAGAAAAGAGACAGTGAGTGAAAATTGATGAACTAAGGCATATATCTGTGAACATGCACGGCCAGTGATGGACAACACGCTGTGGCGGAGTGCTGGAAGGTCATCAGGTTGTCTGTGAGTAGACGGGGCGAGCAGTCAACATGCTGACCAATCGCAACAGGCCGAGGTGAGCCGGTACCTGCTGTGGATCTACCCCTCTCTTTTAAGCATCTGTCTGAGGATGGACTGTAAATCTTTTTCTGCCTTTCCACTTGGTTTTTAAGTTTATTTGTTCCTTATTTTAAGTAAAAGCTGCCCTTCAGTATATTCATTTTCCAGCTCTGAGGGTGAGTGGGGAGGAGGAGGGGTTGGGGTGGCGGAATATTTCCTGAACTTTTGTAAACGATTATTTTCTGAATCTGTGTTAGAAGCAATTGGGAGCTCCTTTTTTCCCCGCCCTGGGATTATCCCTGCAGCCCCCCCTCCCTTTCACCAGTGGTCCACATGGCAGCTGGACATATTTGCATAGAAGTTCTTACATGCAAATAAGATGATACTGTGGCGTCAATCAGAGATCTATTTCCCCCTCCACACACACACATCTATCCCTGTGTCCACGAATGAATGAGGACTTAATAGCTACTTTTTTGACGTCCAATATTATATTTTTAAAAGGAAGCTGCTGATTGCTTAGATGTTGTGATTGTGAACTTTCAAAGCCAAGTATCTTTAAATTCATCCCCCCAAAAAAATCTAAACAGCTAGTATTTTGGCACTTCTGATAGACAGCCAGTGTTGTAAAATCATTTATACACCGAGTCATTAAAAAAATACCATGTCAGCCCGAGTGTAACCTTGAAGGACAGCATGGTGTGGGGGTGACTTCACATGTGTTATACAGGGGGGAAAAACATGGTTATGGCGTAATGTGTCAGGAGTGAGATTTCTAACTGTAACATTACAGTTCAGTACAGTTTCCTCCACCAAGAGATAGAGAGGGAGGAAGCTGTACAACATCGTTTCCTCCGCTGAGAGCGTATCGCTGCGTCTTATCTCCCAATTCCCACCATTAACACCCGTCACATAGATACTCATATCAGGCTCTGACACAACCAACTGCCCCCACCACCACTTCCCCGCACCCTCAACACTCACATGCAGACACACACGTTGACATTTCATGACCGCAGAGGTCATGTGCACATGGACTGCAAGTTTAAATAATATGTCACAAACAAAAAAAGGAAACACTGATGACGTCAGTGTCAGAAATACAACATGCAGTCACATATCTGTTCTGATCAACACCAGACACACATCATACAGAATAATGATAAGGGAAAGGATGTCCTGGGCGTGTGAGGCTTGAAATCAAAAAAAGCAAAAAACTATTTGGTGCCAATCACTGAGGTAATGGTAAATGAAAAGGTGGCCTATAGTACTGTATGACATTGCCATAAAGGGAGAAGCCACCAAGATAAAGAAACTCTGTTGTACATTGAGAAAACCATTAAACCTTTAACCTGAACACACTCCCTGACTTTGTTATTGTACCCAGCTGAACCAGTCAGAGCTTTAGTCAGCTATTCAAGGACACTCATTGTCATCGAGGGCAGAATTGATTTTTAATGAATCATTTTTACATTAAATATTTTCAGCAACATGCAGTCTTCAGGCTTAAATAACAATGTTCTCTATCTTTACTTTGCCAGAGAGATGCATGCTGGGTAAATTAGGTCACCCAAATCATGCACAAACATAGTCTTTCACTTAACCCCAGTGGTATCTAGCCATGAAAATAGAGTTGTTCCCCCAACCCCCCCAGTTTTTGAGATATCTGCCTCTGAGATTTCTGTCTCCACCGTAGCGGAATGAACCTTAAAGGTGTGGTAAACAATTCTAATCCAATACACGTCTTTTTGTCATATTCAGCTGGCCGATCTGGTGTTTGTACTCAGCCCTGGCTCTGTAAATGGGAAACAAACAAAGTGGGCTGCACCCCGCCACAGAACGCTATTCCAGCAGTTCTAGCCATGATTTGTGTGTCAGTAACGTTAAATGCACAAAAATATTCAGCTTACTTTCTACTTCACCAAGCCATGCTATAGCTTTGGATTGACTTGACTTTGGATTTTGACTGGCAAACGTGAATTTCCAATTTGCTCATATATATACGTTTTTACTCTTGGCTGAGATGGAAAAATTGACATATCGATAAAAGCGCAAAAGTGCAATGGAAACAGTCGTACCCATATAATGCATAACACCATAATTCCATCACTTTTGCCGCATTGTTTTGCACACTTTGCATCTCAACTGTATTAAGAGTCAAAAGCAGTGAGCTAGATGAAAACTCTGGCATTTTTTGGATATTATTGGATACTATAACAAAATCAGAGACCATTTCTTTATCTTCAAATTGGTCCCTCCAACCATGACTGACTTGAATAATTGATTTACATAATTAACATGAATAAAGTTAGGTAAAATCCTTGCTGTCGGCTAAATAAACTCAATCCACAATTCTCATTTCAAACCCGTTTCTCCCCTCATTTCTATTCTAATTTAAATGCTGGTTATTTTTAAGATAAGGGAGCTAAATGTGTGAGTGTGTCCCTCAGAGGTTTATCAAGAATGATACGGTTACTTTGAGTCCATCACTGAGTATTTCTGACCTGATATGGGAATGGTTTCATCCTGCCATTATAAAGAACCATTTTTATTTCGCTACATCGTCTCTATGCATTTCTAATCAAATTATATTCATCTTTTATGTAATTTAAGCTGGTAAGTGAAGAAAGTGAAAGGTAATCTTTTTTTCCCCCATGATGTTTGTTTCCTTAATTGTGACTGGATTCTCCTTTTCATTCCTGCAAGCAAAGAGTGTCAAAAATGGAAATGTGTGCTTTTTGTAATGCGTAGCGGTGGCTTATGTTGCATCGGGAGCATCCTGTCCTTGCGGTACACCCCATCACGCTCAACCCTCGTTCTGGATGTGTTTCAGCTCTGTCTACTGTATCTCATAAACGTGTTGAAATTCTGTTTTTTAAAAGTGAGCTCAGACACGCACATACACAAACGTATTCTCACTGTGTATAATGCTTTGGTGTAAGACTAACCCTGTTTCATGAGATTAAAAGTTCACTGTTGCGTCAATGATTTTCTGTCACCTGAGTCGGTCAGTCTCATGCTCTTTTTTGCTCCACGCATGGCCTTTGGCTTCATATCACTATTCTTGTGCCTTGTTTAACTACTGTAAATGGTGAATGTTGTAAAGTACAGATGGGGATGAAAAAAAAGAACAATTAATCATACTGACATACATTTAAAGGTATTAGTTGAAAAAGTATTTAAGATTATAATATTGAATAGGCTGCAGAGCTTTTCTAGTGCTGAACATCTATGTTTGGTAATGCCAGGGCAGCTTTGTGGTATATTGTAACTATAATTATGGACATTTTGGATGTTTTCTGTACAGTAGAATTTGCAAATGTATATGCAGCCTTTTGGAAATAAATGTACAGTTTAAAGATCTCAACTTGTCTAAACAATAGTTATTTTGCATCACTATCAGGTCTTAACTATCCATAAATTGATGTTCCATCATCTAAATCACATAGAATATGTACAGCGTTGACACAGTATGTGCCATTTAGGCTCTGATCTTGTGACTCAACTAAAGGAAAACATCAAGCCCAGCACAGCAGAGATTTGATAGTGGTGATAACTTACATGTGGATGCAGGGGTGGAAGTAGGGGTTAAGCTCCCGGGCCTTGCTTCATTTTTGCCTCTCATGTAAAAACGGATTTGCACACTTTTGTCCCAAAAGTGAAACTTTGTGTTCACAAATTAACATAATGTAGGCATAAATTCATTCAAGAGAACAAGTGACTGCTTTCTGCTCAATATTTTAGGTTTCTTTTCTGCCAAAGTCTATAAAATACATATTTGTGCACATTTTTTTTTTGTATTTTAGCATTAATTAAATTTGGTCTTTAGGTGTGTCCTAGATTCTCAAAAGTGCCTTAAAAAGCACTGCATAAAAGAAATTCTTCTTTCCGTGGCATGGAAGTAAAGAGTTGGGTTTGTGGCATATGAGTGGATAAAGGCAGTTAAAAACCGAATGAAATTATCTAAATGTGTGTCTCATGTTTGCAGAGTAGCACAACCTCACACATCTCTGAAAACAAATAAAAACAATATTTAAGTCAATCAGGACTTACATACAGGATACCCTCACACGTGGCTTTAGGGCCCAAGAATTACTTTATGTTCTCTGATCACTAACATTTGCAATGTGGCCAGTCAAGTTACTGTCATTTAAGCTAATATAGGACACTGGTGGGATGAATCAATTTTTTGCCTTTTTTTTTTTTTTTTACAGCATTTATAGGCAGCCATGGGTTAGTTAATAAAAAAAGACCTAACTAATATCCACTTACACTTGGTACTTTCATTCAAGTACGTTACTTGAGTAAAATGTTGAGGTACTTGCATTTCGGTATTTTCATTTTAGGGGGCTTTTTACTTTTACTCCTCTACATTTCAAATCCCGCAATGTACTTGAAGATACTGAGAAGGAGAAAAATAAATATTTTGTCATTGAAAATAATAAGGGTACTCCGATCAATCGGTTACCGATCATAATCAGCCGATAATGGCTTTAACTAGTTTGATCGGCGGTCGTAAAATGGCCAATAAGAAAAGCCGATCAGATGATGCAATACTTGCCAGACAAATTTTCAACGGTAGCTAAAATGTTTCACTACGCTGTGTGAGCGGTTTGCAAAGCTAGCTAGCACCAAAGTCCTTCTCAGACAAGAAGGGATTAACGGGCCCACATAATCATTTACAATTAGAGATGAGCAGCAATCAGACAAGTGGAGCAACGCGCAGGAGCGATCATGTGAAACTGTCGCAGCTGTGCTCATCTCACACACATGATAGCGCATCAGGAAGAGAGAGAGACTGATCCTTCAGTGTGAGTTTCCTGATGCAAAGAGCAGCGCCACTCAATCAGCTGACTGCCTCTCTCTCTCTGTTTTCATTCGGTTCTTGGTCTGCATTAATTTCTTCTTTTGCTCAATCGTCAGCTACTGCGGAGTAGACCATGTGCTTCATTTTTACACTGGCACGCACATGCCCAGTGTAGCTACCTGAACGGCCACTAGATGTGTGTTTTCAGTCCTTCTAATATAGACAGAGATCAACTCTGATACGCAGCTGAAACACTGCTGTGGACGGAGAAGATCGTTATGAAACTGTTTTAAAAACGTTACAGTGTGGATGTAGCCTCACATTACCCCACTCCTCTCTCTACTCCTCTCATGTCAACCCTACCATTTCCCCCGAGATTCTCACATATTTTTCCCTTCTTACCTATTAAATGTTTCCCTGTAAATCTCCCTTATATTTAACCTTTATGAAATCAAATTAAAACCTTCTGGCCGTATTTAAAGTGCTACTCTCCCTCTGGTAAAGTCGGTGGCAGCATGTAAGATATGTAGACTGTGCTTCCTGCACAAGGATAAAAATGAAAACAATCCACTGAAATGATATAAGGCCTATAGCCTACTGATGGCAAACCATATGAAATTAGAATGAATATAGTAGCCTATGTAATATTAACAATTGACTGTATAATATGGAATTTACATTATAGCCTATTTTTATTTTTAAATTTTTCCTTATTTTCAAATCTCACTGAAGGCAGTTTTGACACCCCTCTGTAGCCCTTCTCCCTCTCTCTGCTCCTCTCTCTCCCCCTAAAGCCCACAGGACCTGCCTGAGCTTTCCAGAACAAAAAGCAGCTACTTCAGAGTTTATCATCGACTCATGATGCCTGTGCTCCTTTATCTCCTAAATATTTTGGCTGCAGCCTTTTTTGTTGCAGTTTTAATGGTTGTAGTAAATTTATAAAGATGCTGTTTGTTCTGGTTTTGTAGTTTATTCCACAGGAAAGCTATATTTGTAAAGCTATAAGATGTTCACAGTAACCAGGCAAAGGCTGCTATGGTTTAAGTCTGTAACACAGATTGAGTGGAATTTGTTGCCCATGTTTCCTGGCAATAAAATAAACAGTTGTCATTTCATGATACTTTATCATCTGTTAACTTTAACACTTAATACATTGTTTTTGGGACCAATTAAATAAATATACAGTATACTGTATAATGCTACATGATAAATAAAAGGCTCCAAATAGACCCAGTGATCGGTATCGGTCGATACTACTTTCAGCAATCGGTGATGAAAATCCTGATCGGAGCACCTCTAGAAAATAATGCACTTTCAAATTTCATGTTTACAATTTATTAATAAGATTGTCACAGCCAGCATAACTGGAACACCAACCACTTTGACATGTTTAGAGATGAATTTATTAGAGATACAACAATACAGAATGAGCACTCCATTCATTATTGAATACTTTTATACGGGGGGTGAGACCAGATTTCTCTTCATCAACTCCCTCAAATCACAACTACTCCTGCTAAATGCCATGCTTGTCTCACCTATTTATCCTAGTGAATTTCAGAAGCAACATATGAAAAACAGGTCAGACAACATTGAAACCTCCTGAGCTGTAGAGGAGAAACCAGTGAGCAATTAAATCTTCCTCGGTGAGCAATTAAATCTTCCTCGGGAAGATATTCCTTTCTCAGTTCAGGAAGTAAGCTTACTAATGTATGAGTAATCTTCTGATAGTGTGAAGGCTGTAATACTGGTCTGTAGCATATTTGTGGTGACAAAATACCATACCAATGTGTGGCCTGAAAGTAAAGGGTTAGGCTTGAAGCTTGTGGGTGGAACACCGTCAAACACATAAGAGCAGAATTATGTGTTTGCTGAAATGATTCAAAGCTTTGTCTTAAACAGCATGCCCGTAGGACCAGCATTACACTATATTTTCTTTTTTTAATTAGTTTCATTACAACATTCATTAACATAATAGTTGAGTGAAATCTGTTTAAATGAATCAAACATGTCAATAAGACAAAACAAATATTTAACAATATTTAAGTCAATCAGGGCTGACATACAGCGAGATTAGCACAACAAACATTGATCATTTTTTCCTACATATGGCTGTCAGGCACTGTGCCCAAAGAATTACTCTATGTTTGAGCTCTAACTGTTAACATTAGCAATGTGGCCAGCTAAGTTATTGTCATTTAAGTCATTATAAGAGCTGCTCTAAGCTCAGTGCTGGGATGAGTCAGCTTCATGTTCCAGGCAGACATGGAAGAATTGCTGAAAAAAAAGAACAGAATGACCCCTTTCAGCTAGCTTAGCATAATGCTGACTGCAAGAAGATATCAGTCTGCTGACCTGCTATACCTTTTAATTTCTTCAAAAAATGTATTATTGTATCCTAGTTGATGATTGTAACCTGTTTAACTTGTTGATATTATATGGCTTTTCAATAGCCTAAAGTTACTGCATACAGTAAGTGCCCCTGGCATGTAACTGCAGCATAGGTTTACATTGTGCCTGTCTAAACAAGTATGTGTTTTGCTTATTGCTCCTTGGCCTGGATGTTTAACCTTCACTTTGCAGAATGATGTACGTGCAGAGTTTGACACTAGAAGGCTGTATTCACATCTGTCTGCTGAAGGAGGAAGGTTTCCTTGAGCTTAGCTTAATTCACAGAGTCAAAATGCTTAGACATGTGCAATGTGAAAACCTGAAACCTACAGTGCACATACTGTACACTGAGAATTGCCTTTTCAGTGAATTTAGGATACATATTTAATATTTTTAAATGAATAGTATTTTCAAAATGTTCATTTTAATTCTTAAAAACAATTAATATTAAAAGAGAATATATTAGACTGAGCTAAAATAGATAAATAGTAGTGGTAAATACAATTGGAAAGGTTTAAAAAGCCTCAGAGAACAGGAACGTTTAAAGACCTGACTTAAGGACTGTAAGATGCTAGCCAATCTCAGGTGTTATGGGAGTTTATTCCAGGTATGAGGAGCATAAAAACAAAAAGCTGCTTCTCCATATTTTGTTGTCCAGCAAAAGTGGATTTAACATTTACCTGCAGAGGCATTATGCCTCCAGTAGTAGTTGGCCACCTGGCCAGTGTTCTTCAAAAACTTTAGCCCAGATGCCAGTGTTCAGTCCCTTCACCCCTCACCAAGCCCTGATTGCTTCTTTTTTGCATTGTCTTCTTTTGTTTTAGACTGACAACATGCGCCTCCGATACTCTCATACGTCACTGATTATTTCTTTCACACCTCATTGCAGTTATTATTGTATCTTTAGAGTTTGTTATTGCTAGGTTGGGCATGGATCTCCCTTCTTTGTTGTGGCCCACAAGCTGGTGGTAAGTATTTGTTTTTCCTCTTATAGGCCTCCATCCTCATGCAGCTTCCATTACTTGGATGCCACTCAGTAAATGCACACTAACATTTTATGCCACCTGTGTATATAATTTTTGATACTGCATTCTTGATCAAAAGACTGGAACAGTCACTCAGTGGTTAATGCAACTGATTTGGTACAGGTGATCGTGGGTTCGATTCCCGGTCAGGGCGGGTATCCAGGTGGACCCTTAGGCAAGGTCCTTAATGCTACTTGCCTACCTCAGGCATGAGTGAAACTGCAAATACAAGAGCCATACCTTCGCCCGGGTCAACAAGATCAGCGTCAGGTGCTAGGGAACCAGATCACAAATGGGCTACTGGAACAAGACATTCATGGACTAGAGCAGAAAATATGGATATGATGGAATGCTGCTATAGATGCTTTCATCGGACCAGTTGCCAAGGTGATGCGCCCGGCCCAAAGTTAACTTCCGTTCTGTTTGTTTATTACTGGGAGCCTTTCCGAAACTAGACCCTCGCCACTTCCATTCCGACACGAAGTGAACTCTGCTCGGAGTTACCCTCACAGCCAAATCTAGCTACCTAAAGGGGTATTTGATCCAACTAACCTGCATAGGGTAAAAATACAGCAGCCAACTTTCGAATAAAAATGGTGATGAAATGTTAGTGTAGTTTCTGAATTTAAAAATCCTACATGTTAACCAGTGAAGTCACACGGAACTCACATTTGAACGAAAGGTCGTCCATTGTGCAGCAAAAGCTGTAGGGAAGAGCCGGGATGATTGAAACGCGTAACGAATAAAACACAGCAATTTTCTCGGAGCCCATACAAGTCTGATATGCCAAACTACCTCAGCACATACAGTCCACAGTCCACAGTACTTAACAGAACAGGGAAAAATCAGGTGGATACGTCACACTTTCACGAAGTTATACGAAAGAAGCTGTTTTCAATCACGGAAAGTAAATTCACTCAAGCGATCTTTTTTTTTTGAATGACGAGTTGTGTTTATTGTTCCATGTGTCATGGTCATGATCACATAAAAGATTAGTTAGTACTTTAACACATCCTGAAGTTTTTACCGTTTAGAAGCTAGTGAAGTTTAAACGTCAAGAGTCACTGTCAGGACGATTGAAACAGGTGTCCCGACACACAGCCATTCTACCATATTTAGATACGGCGGGAGGGGGGGCAGAGTCCACTAGGCTGCAGGCTGGACCACCAGGATTCTCACAGCCAAATAATAGGATCTTCACAGTAGACCAGGAAAACAGGCTGCAGATGTACATAAAAAGGGCAGCCGATATCTGATCCAAATGTGCATTAGCTGTTAGATTTTCTAGTTAGCTAGCTAAGTTGTATTTATACTGTTTTTTATTAAAAAAAAGGACATAATGAGTTTGCAATTACGTATTAAGAAGGGCAAGTGTCAAGCTTTCTATATAAAAACAAGAATAACTTAAACTATTTAAATGTATGTCGTTGTGTTTCATGAAACAATGCGCAACTCTCCTTAAAAGTGAAATTATACTGAAGTCGTTCCACATTTTAACAAGATAACACCTGGTATTGATAGAACACGCATGAGTTGTTGATGACAACAACAAATGATTTCTGTCTGTAACGTTATATTTTAAATTGACGTATATTTTAAAAGTGTTTCATTCGTCCTGGCTCTCCCCTATGTGGATCACAAATGCCCAACACTTGCAGTTTGTGTCCATATCTATCTTGGTCTGTTGTTTTGCCCTCCAGGTCACTGCGCATGCCACGTGACTGAAAACTATGAATGGAATTCAAATATGAAGTGTGATCACAGACATCAAAGACAAGTGATGTCACACGGAATATCATGACATCACCAGCAGCCTTTGGTCTTGTCTTCTAAAACACACAAAGACAGCACAGAGCAAGAACACAGGTTAGACAGAGGAAAATTTATACAGACACAACAATACTAACTTAGACGAAAAAGAACAAACTGAAATGGCTTCTCCACAAGAAGCCATTTTGTCCATGGCTGACTGGGAAAGAATCCAGTCTTCATTAAACCAGCCCGAGGCCAAAGTGTACACCTGGCAGCAAGTGGTAGATATCAATGCTCTGCATCAGTTTTCGAGAGCGGAGAATAAACTCATGAAAGCCCGATGCGAAAATATGCAGGCAAGGAAAAAACTTGAGGAGCAGGCAAAGGAGGAATATTTGAATAAGCTTGCTGCGGAGGAGGCTAGATTTAAAAAACAGGAGTGGCAGCAAGCAGTTGATGAGGCCAATATGAAGAGATTTCTCCAGAATGGCTGCACCAGTAAATTCAACCGTGCTCTCTTTACAACACACGTGCAGAAGGAAAATGAAGCAATGTTGGAGTTTAAACGGGAAAAAAAGAGAATTACTGAAGAACAAAATAGACTGTTTGAAGACGAGATGAGTTATGTACAGAACAAAACTCTGAGAGAAGAGCAGGAGAAAGTTTGTCTGAGACAGCTTTGTAAGCAGACCACGGCAGACCATAACACTGAGCAAATTAAGAAGAACAAACAGCTGAGAGAGGAAGAGAGACAGCAGGAGAAGGAAGAGAGAGAAAGACTCCGGGACCTTCATGAATTGCATGCACAGGAGCTAAGACATAAGGCAGAAAAAAAAGCGGAATCAAAAAAAAACTATTTGAAATGTCAACTGGAGGATATCGCCAGTAGAGATCTCCACAGACATAGGGAGGCACAGAAACTGAACGAGGAGGAGAAAGAAAGAAAATGTGTTCAGTTGGACAGAGAAAGAAAGCTGCGGCAAATAAAAAAATATCAAGCAGAAAAGTTCAAGAAGTTCCAGATACCAAAAGAAATTGTGGCAGAAAAATTGGCAGTCAGAATGAAGAAAGAGGCTGCCTCCAAAACTCTGAGGCAGGAGGTCAAATTGTCTAAGGAAGTGGCTGAACAAGATGCTAAAGAGACAAAGCAGCAGAAGGACAAGGAGGAGAAGAGGGCTGCGATGCTCGAGGCTATTTCGGCTCACAGAAAGACAAAAATGCAGGAGAAAGAGCAGATGGAGAAGGCAGAGCAACAGAGCAACCTGGGCTGGGTTCTGAAACAATCTGACAAGTTGTTTCTTGAAGAACAACAACTAAAGGCTAACCGGATCCGTGAAAATAACATCAAGTGTCGAGTCTCCAATGTCACCCTGATGGCTGAAAATCATGCCCGTCTTGAAAAGCTGAAAAAGGAGGAACATGATGCTGCAGAGAAGAATGCCAAGCAGATTGCAGCAAGGGAGAAACAACTCCAGCAGTATGTTCAGCGTGAACTTGACAAGGCTGCAGAAGGTCAACTAAATGTTTCACATCTTTTAGCTACAAGTACAGGTGGGCATGGTTTCATGTTTGATGGGGAGGAGCACGACTACTATTGTGCAAGCACTGATGAAAAACTGCCCAGATTTTCCAATGACCAGACCCGTTTCATAAAACAGTATCTGGAACGCAATAGCCTGCAGCTCAGCATGGTTGATATGGAGCCCACCAGTCTGCCACCACTTTCGAGGGCAGCCAAGCTAAAGTCTAAAGATGCTTTAGCTGCAAAGGAAGTAGTTGCAGGACGGCGTTGCCCCCCTGCAGGGATGGAGGGGTCCCACTACTGTTCTAGAGGCACAGGGGAATCTTTGCTCAGATTTGGCACTGCTCAAACCCGGTCCATTAAACAGTATTTGGAACGCAATAAGCTGCAACTGATCTTCGAGGAAACCAGTGAGGTTGATTTGAAGCCGACCTGCCTTCCATCCATTTCCAATAAAGACAAATTAATATCTAAAGACACTTTCGCTTCAAGGGAAGCAACTGCAGGACGGCGTTGCCCCCCTGCTGGGGTGGAGGGATCCCACTACCGTGCTAAAGGCACAGGGGAATCTTTGCACAGATTTGGCACTGCTCAAACACGGTCCATGAAACAGTATTTGGAACGTAACAAGCTGCAACTAATCTTCGAGGAAACCAGTGAGGTCGATTTGAAGCCGACATGCCTCCCATCCATTTCCAATAAAGACAAATTAATATCTAAAGACACTTTCGCTTCAAGGGAAGCAACTGCAGGACGGCGTTGCCCCCCTGCTGGGGTGGAGGGATCCCACTACCGTGCTAAATGCACAGGGGAATCTTTGCTCAGATTTGGCACTGCTCAAACACGGTCCATGAAACAGTATTTGGAACGTAACAAGCTGCAACTAATCTTTGAGGAAACCAGTGAGGTCGATTTGAAGCCGACATGCCTCCCATCCATTTCCAATAAAGACAAATTAATATCTAAAGACACTTTCGCTTCAAGGGAAGCAACTGCAGGACGGCGTTGCCCCCCTGCTGGGATGGAGGGATCCCACTACCGTGCTAAAGGCACAGGGGAATCTTTGCACAGATTTGGCACTGCTCAAACACGGTCCATGAAACAGTATTTGGAACGTAACAAGCTGCAGTTGACTTACAAAGACAACGCTAAGGTCGATCTGCATCTGACCCACCTCCTACCCATTTCCACAAAGGAAGCACCTGCAGGACAGAGCTGCCCTCCTGCTGATGTGGAGGATTCATGCTACAGTTCTAAGGGTATGGGCAAACCATTGCTTAGATTGCCCACTGCGCAAAACAGGTACATTAAATAGCACCCGGATCACAACAAGCTGTATTTTAGGAAGACTTAATCTACAACAACCCTGTTCCCCAGCTCTCTTGCCTGCAACCCCTTTTCTTACTTGTTTTCCCCTAATCCCCTTTCCCAACATTGTCTCCCTACATCCCTTTTCCCCAAAGTGTTTCCCTACATTCCCTTTCTCCAAATCGTCCCCCTACATTCCCTTTGTATTTACCTTGTTTCTTCTCTCCCTTCATTTCAATCGCTTCTTATTCTTGTCCTCATTCCCCTTTTCAGGAATTCCATGGCAGCATTAATGGTAATGCTGATGCCTCACAGACAGGTTGTGGTTCAGGCCAGACCTTGCTGTGAGGAGTTTGCATGTTCTCCTCAGGTGCATCTGTTTCCTCCCGCAGTCCAGAAATATTACACATAAATACAAAAATAAAAATGTCTGTATGGATGTATGGATTTTGATTAAACATGCCTCCGTGAAGCACTAGGCTATGTTATTGCAATGCCTCAAAGTGGTCAGAATACCTTCTAAACTTGTGGGTTATTTGATTAGAGCAGACTTGTGTTCTGGATCAACTGAAAACTCTTAAAGGACTTATTCCAGGAAGGAAGCATATAAGGTGAATAGGATTGGTCCAAGCACAGAACCTTATGGAACTGGGATGTTGTTACTACATAAAAAGAATCAGTTAAGGCAAGAAACGACAGTCAAAAGCATTGTTTTATTATGCAGTGGTCAATTTTAATATTACATGTCTTTTTTCAGACTAGTGGGTCTAAATTATACATTTAGTAGTTTATTTTTCTACAGTTTGTCTGTGTGAGTCTGTAGATTTCGCCTTAAAGTTCTACCGCAACATCTGCTGCTGTCGCTGTCTGCATCATATTGTTTCTGTGTGTGACTGTTCAAACATGCTGTTTCTCAGTTATCAGTTCGATGTGTTTGAGATATACTATACTGTTGTTGTTAAGGGTTTGATTTGATCTCGGGTCTGTAAATATTGATTTTCAATGAAAATGTGTAGAATTTTACAATAGATCCTAAAATTTGTTTTTCCTGTTACTCTGAGCCTAAAATCTCCATTTCAGTAGCACTTCCATACACCAAACTTTACAGTCGTATTCTGAAGGTTTTTACATAGGGGTTTTGCTCAGGTATCATTCATAGCCTGAATTGTAAAACATTTTTTTCACAAGTTTCTGTGAGATCTCAAATTAATATGGACACCAATCGATGCTGCATCTTGACTGAATTGTCTCGTGCTTTGTTATGATTGAAATATTTAAGATTAGTTGATTCTGTGGTTTTAAGTATTATACAAAAGTACAGGTTGTTTGCAAAAATATTTTATTTCAATGCAACTGTTTTGCCCAGGGGCGGTGGTTAGCACTGTCGCCTCACAGTAAGAAGATCGTGGGTGTAGTGGCTATCTTAATTGTTCGTAATTGTAAACTTCAACTAAACTTACTTCTGTTATCATAACCACATTGTATGAACGACGTAAGACAATTTTACGCGTTGAGTTGGCCCGGAGAGAACCAACGACGGTAAAACAACCGTGTTGCTCCGCCGTCCACACTCGTTTATTGTTTTTTCTTACCGCTTCCTTCAAACTTCAAAATAAGAGTTCCAATACAGAAGTTGCACCGAAATACCAAAATAAACACAAGAATGACAGAGTAACAAATGTTATAACATAAACAAACTTGCTACTAATAAATGGCCCTTACATTCCGGCCCCTAATTGTTAATTCTGCAACATAACAATTACATCTTTGAAATTAAAGCGTCATTTCTCTCAGAATTAAGGATTCATCACTTGCACAAACAAAAACTTGTACTTAACGTTCTTAACCATAACAGTATATTTCAAATCTACATTCAAGTGAACTCAAAATGCACTTATAACATGTATCAACATCTTGCCTTATACAAAGGTATACTTATGGCACATATAACCTAAAAAATGCCTTCACTTAGTTTACTCCTCCATCTCAAGCAACACACATAATTTATGTATTGGCCTTTCCAAAATGCTAGATTTAGTTTTGACAAATACACGTCTCACATTTCCCTTTGAATCAGAAAGTGTCCGTTCAACCTTTCCCATCAACCAGGAACTTCTTGGTACACTGTCATCAACAATATCTCCTGATTTCAGATTTCTCCTTGTTACTGTCCACTTCTGCCTCTCTTGCAACAGTGGCAAGTACTCTTTAGTCCATCGCTTCCAAAAGATGTCAGACAGGTACTGCACCTGTTTCCACCTCCTCTTGCCATACAAGTCCTCTCTGTCAAACAGTCCTGGTGGCAGCACAGGCTGGCCTTTAAGGAGAAGCAAATGGTTAGGTGAGAGTGCCTCCAAATCCTTTGGGTCACTTGACACTCGTGTTATAGGTCTGCCATTAACAATCGCCTCGACTTCACACATCAATGTATGAAGACATTCGTCATCGAGAGGCTGCTGTTTCAGAATATGGTTGAGGATTTTCCTCACAGAACGTATCTGTCTCTCCCAGATGCCACCAAAATGTGAACCTGTTGGCGGGTTGAACATCCAGGTAATGCCCTTCTGCATGAACATTTCTGAGATTTTTGAGTGGTTCCATCTTTGAATTGCCTCACGCATTTCTTTCTCTGTTCCCACTAGATTCGTTCCATTGTCTGATCTCACGACAGCCACTTGACCTCTCCTAGCAACAAATCTCCTAAATGCGTTGATGCACGAGTCAGTTTCAAGTGTGTTGGCAACTTCGATGTGAATTGCTCTAACAGTGAGACAGGTGAACAATACACCATACCTTTTTACTATACTTCGCCCACGTTTTACTTCAAAGGGCCCAAAATAGTCTATGCCCACATTAGTGAAGGGTGGCTTGTCAGGCATTAGGCGATCTTGTGGCAAATTTGCCATCCTCTGTTCTCCAGGTTTTGTTGAAATCTTTTTACATGGTACACACTTTGACAATATTTTTCTAACACCAGAGTTTGCTTGCGGGATCCAGAATCTCTCTCTCAGCCGGGATAGCATGTAATTTCTCCCACAATGTCCTGTTTCTTTGTGGATATGTCTGAGGATCAACGTGGAGACATGATGATCTTTAGGAAGTATCACAGGATGTTTAACATCTGCTGGCAGTGCAGACCGATGCAGTCTTCCACCAACCCGTAAAATCCCGTCTTGGACAACAGGATCAAGCTTGACAATGTGACTGCTTCCTTTAAGTCTGTCACCTTTCTGAAGAGCTTTAAATTCATCGCTAAAGCATTGATTTTGACAAAACTTGATAATCTCAACTTCTGCCGTAACAAAATCTTCAGTGGTGAGCAAAGACCCCTTGACAGTTGACTTGAACTGTTCCATTCTGTGTGTAACCATTTCAGTTTTCTTCTCATGACTTAAATGATGACTTAATTGTGATGTGATAAGCTTGCGGTGTGCGCTCAGATTTTGAAGCAGTTTTTTAACCTTCATCATCCATGAAACTGCCCTTTTTAAACAATGCCACTCTGAATAATAACAAATGAGCTTGTTAAGTGGATTCTCATGCATGTTGATGGCAGTTACAAATACTGCTTCTTTCACTTCAGCATCATCTTTCTGTATGTCTTTCATGTCTGGTGAAACTGGCCAGTGTTTCCTGTCCTTTGTCAAAAACTCTGGCCCACCAATCCAGCTTTGACACATTTTGAATGTTTCTGCAGGCATTCCTCGTGACGCGTGGTCAGCGGGATTCAACTCTGAATTAACATACATCCACTGACTTGGCTCTGTGTTGTCTCTAATGAGTGACACTCGGTTTGCAACAAATGTTTTAAATCTCAGATTTTCACTGGCGATGTACTTTAACACTGTAGTACTATCACACCAAAACACAGATTCTTCAAGCTGCATGTGCAGCTCCTTTCTCATGAGTCGATCCATGTTTACAGCAACAGCAGCCGCTGTTAGCTCCAGCCTCAGAATTGTTGTTTGTTTCAACGGTGCCACTCTGGACTTGCCGATGATGAACGAACAGTGAACTTCTCCGTCTTTATTTGTCATGCGAAGGTAGGAAACAACTCCGTAAACTTTCTCACTCGCGTCTGCGAAATGATGCAACTGCGCAGATGTCACGGTTCCAAAGCCTGTCGGTTTCAGACATCTATTCACGGTACAACCATGAAGCCTTGTCAGGTCTGAAAGCCACAACAATATCCTTTGAGCCAGTTCTGCAGGGATGTCTTCATCCCAGGTGACTTTCATGCCACACAGCTCCTGCAAGATCATCTTTGCTGGAAGAATGACAGGTGACAGAAACCCTAAAGGATCATAAATCGCACTTACAAATGAGAGGATACCTCTACTTGTCTGTGATGCTGGTTTTGCATTTATCCTGACCTTAAATACGTCTGACTCACTACACCAGGTCACTCCTAGTACTCGCTCCTCAGGTAATGCATCATGACTAAGATCCAAGTCTTTGACCTCTTTAGCCCTTTCTGTGTCAGGAATGGAAGCAAGAACAACTCTGCTGTTGCTCATCCACTTCGTTAAGCGAAATCCTCCGCTCTCACACAGTGCTGTCAAGTCCCTGACCATAGCACATGCTTGGATTTCATCTGACACTGACAACAGACAATCGTCTACATAAAATTTGTTCAACACTGCTGCAACTGCAGCAGGAGCCATGTTTTCCTTAGCATCTTCAGCCGTCTTCCTCAGCGCGAAGTTTGCACAGCTGGGGGAGGATGTGGCCCCAAACAAGTGAACCACCATTTTGTATTCTTGCAGAGGTTTCGTCAAGTTTCCCTCCGGTCACCAGAGCAAGCGCAGCAGGTCACTATCCTCAGGTGGTACACGTACTTGGTGGTACATAGCTTCTATGTCTGACATTAAAGCTACATGATCTTGCCTGAATCGTGTTAAAACCCCGATTAGTGAGTTAGTTAAATCCGGACCCTGAAGAAGCTCTCTGTTTAGTGACTTGCCTTGATATGATGCTGCACAGTCAAAAACTACACGGAGCTTTCCCTTTTGGGGGTGGTAAACCCCGTGATGAGGTATATACCAGACCCTCCCATTGGCAGACTGGGTCTCTTCATCTGGTACCGGGACAGCAGAGCCTTTGCTCAACAGGTCAGACATGAAGCTTTGATATTCACTGTGAAAGTCTTTGTTTTTGACAAGTTTCCTTTTCAGGTTTTCTGCTCTCTGAACAACTACACTGCGGTTGTTAGGCATCTTGACGTATCTGTTTTTCAGGGGAAGTCCTATGGTATGGTGACCATCAACCCTTTCACTAACACAGTCCATAAACTGAACGTCTTCTCTTGACATTTCCTGTTTTTCCTCACTGGCCTTTTCAGGAAAATCATGATTAAACTGCTGTACCAACAGGTTCTCCACACTAGCAATAGAAATGCGATTCACAGAAACACTGGGAATACTCTCAGATGCAGTGTTG